CCTATTTTCCAAATAATACGGTAGCGAATTTTCGAGTGAAATTGGCTGAAACCATTGTATTGCCAGGACAGTGGGAAGTCGCATTGACGGAACTGCATTATCCACATACGTGGAGCACGCTAAGACGTGGAGTGCAACAAACGTTTTTATATAAAATTGGCAGTGACCCTTATCAAACTGTCGTGCTTAAAGAAACACAATATTCTTCTATCGACCAACTAACAAAAACACTCAATGCCGGCATGTCGAAAGAAACACAGACAAAAGTAAAGTTTAGTTATAATCGCAGTTCTCGCAAGGTTTTGATTGATGTAAAACACGGCACAACTGTGTGGTTTACCGGCGAATTAGCAACGGTCTTGGGATTTGACCAGGACACACTTATTGAAAAGAAAACGTCGAGTCCCTGTGCTGCAGATATCAATGGTGAATTTTCCTCCATGTATATCTATACTGATATCGTTGATGCACAGTTTGTGGGCGATGTGAAAGTTCCTTTACTACGAATCGTTAATATCGAAGGGGAATATGGAAACACCGTTCACGACAGTTTCGTAATTTGCAATACGTACCGGTCAAAGTAAATTCTTTTGAGACCATTGAAGTTAATATAAAGAATGACCAAAACGGAAACGTCTCATTTGAGTTCGGGAAGTCAATCGCAACACTTCACTTTAAACAGAAGAGATCTCAGTACTTTATCTAAAAATGCGCGGAAGACTAGTTGTGGATGCTAAACTATTGAAAGACCATTTCTTGAGACAGCAACGTGGTGGGAATATCGCTGGGTTTCGTGGTGCACGTATGCAAAGGGGATATGGAATCGGAAGTATTTTCAAGAGCCTTGCGAGATATGCTATCCCTATATTCAAACAGGGTGCTAAAGTTGTTGGCAAAAGAGCATTGCAAGCAGCCACAGAAGTCAGTCAAGATGTACTCCAAGGAAAAAATGTAAAAGAAGCTTTTAAATCACGAGGAAAACAAGCAGCATCTGATGTTGCCAGGAAAGTAATGACCGGAAAGGGTCGCAAAAAGGGTATAAAAAGAGCAGCGCCAACTAAAACTCCCATTCGCGGTCCAACCAAGAAGCAGAAATCATCTCTCGATAACTATAGTCCAAAGTGGCATGGCTCTTGAAACAATGCATAAAGACTCGTGTATGTGTTCAAAATTTGAACTTGATTTATTTTCTGTTCCACCGACTCAAGTGGTAATGGAAAAAGGATTTTGGGAAGATGTTGATCCTATTACGAGTATATCTTCTTCAGATACGATAGAATTTTTATGTGCTGCAAATTCTGGAGTTTATACTGACTTAGCAAGCAGTTACCTATACGTTAAAGCAAAGATCACTACTGCGGCCGGAGGTAATGTGGGTGCCGACATTCAAGTTGGACCTTCAAACCTTTGGATGCATGCATTATTCTCACAAGTTGAAATATTTCTGAACAACAAACTGGTCACCCCATCAAGCACAGCCTACCCTTACCGAGCGTATATCGAAACGATCCTGAACTTTAGTAAAGATGCCAAAGATTCACATTTGACCTCAGCACTGTTCTATAAAGATAAAGCTGGAAAGATGGATGCAGTAAACCCGCTCGCACAAGATGCCCACGTCAACACGGGATTAAAACAACGCCATGCATATACACGCGAAAGCAAATCTGTCGCCATGGAAGGAAGACTTCATTCTGATCTATTCGCGCAAGACCGTTATATTCTTGGTGCAGTTCCAATCAAGATCAAGCTGGTGAGATCTAGAGATCCGTTTTGTTTGGTATCATCCGCAGAAGATCCCAATTTCAAAGTGGTCATCGAGGAATGTTTGTTTCGTGTACGACGAGTTAACGTAGCCCCTAGCATTATACTGGCTCATTCCCAGTCCCTTCAACAAATCACTGCCAAATACCCAATCAACAGGATCGACTGTAAGGTTGTCTCCGTACCTCGGGGGAATATGTCTGGAAATCAACTTAATATATTTCAAGGGGCTTTACCAAATCGTATTGTGATTGGAATGGTCGACGCAGATGCCTTTAACGGTACATACACAAAGAATCCGTTCAATTTCAAAAATTACGATATCACAACCATGGGTCTCACTGTCAACGGAGAGAACTTACCTGGAAAACCATTACAATTGAAATTTGGAGCAGAAAGTAATTACATTTCTGCTTTTCAAACCCTGTACGCTGGTACACACAAGATTTTTGAAAATCAGGGTAATGGTATAACGCGTGAAGAATATGCAAACGGTTATACACTGTTTGTGTTTGACCTCACACCAGACCTGTGCATTGGTGATCATGTACAACCGATTAAAAACGGAAATGTGTCAGTTGAATGCCGATTTGGAACACCGTTGGAAGCGGCTATAAATATCGTGGTACTTGGCGAATTTCAAAGTCTTATCGAAATTGATGCGAACCGGAATGTGCTGTGTGATTTCAACAACTGAAGATGAACTCGCTGCAGATTATGAACATTCTCAAGAATGATCCATTTACAAAAACGGTGTTTACGGACGTTTTACCGTCGGATCGTTTACCTCGCGAAATAAGAAAGAGGCCTAGAGGGTATATAGTTAACACGGATGCGTCGGATATGCCCGGATCACACTGGATTGCAACGTACCTTACAGAAGATGGCAAAGGGGAATTTTGGGATTCGTATGGTCAGGCTCCTGGATTTTACAATCAGAACTTTACTCAATTTTTGGACAAGCATTGCGCTACATTTACATGGAACAGAAGAATTTTGCAAGCCCCTTCATCAGACGTGTGTGGACAGTATACATTATTCTTTGCTTTACATCGATGTAGACGTATTCCAATGTCAACCATTGCAAATATGTTTACGGATAGCAAAGAATGGAATGATGAGCTTGTGCGTGACTTTATAAACAAGTGGTACAAACACTAGATTTAGTTTAAAAAACATTTATTGTAAAATATTCTCTTACAAGAAATAAATTATTTTAACCATTTATATGGACTACTAATATTGTCTCTACGGTTTTTTTCTCTTTTCTTGCTGCACTCGAGGGGTGGTGGGTAGATTTTTCGGGATACCTTTGGTTTTATATTCGCGCACAATTCCAAGACGGTTTTCGTTTCTCACAATACCTTCGGGTACATTCAAATGCCCGAGAACTTTTGAAAACAATTCCCAGCCGTCGGGGTTGAAATTCTTCCTTTGACGTAGAGAATCATTCACCAAATCAACTATATTTGTGCTAGGAACCGATCTTCCTTTGAACATCATCTGGCCTTGTTCATTCCAACCAACAAGATCTTTATTTGACTTGAGTTTTTTGATGAGTTGTCGAGCTCTTGACTTCATAGTAGCTGGTACACTGTCCATGATATCTGTTTCAATCTCGTCTGAAGGTTCAGTCTCTTCACTCGGCTGTTCTCCTTGAGGTTCTTCAGGTTTATCGGTGTGCGTCACGTTTACTCGGAGAGGTTTATTTATTCGTTTATCATAAAAGGTTAAATAGCGTTATAGATTCTGGTCGTATAACTTTGCCTTTTCATCAATTGGTATATCTTGTCGTCGAATAATATCCTGCATGTCTGAGTCTATTTCGTTAACCTGTGTCGCCAAAGGCGCCGCGAGAGGTTTCTTTCGCTGTTCAGCCATATGTTCAGGGACAAGGACTAGTCGCTTGACGTGTTCCATTATAAAAAGTTAGCCAACTGCTCCAAAACTGAAGTGAGTAGAAACGGTAGGAAACCCTCCCCTTTTTGGACTAGACGTGTTCTTCTTTTTACGATAGGATTTCTTTTGTCGGCCGCAAACTTTATATGCTTGGAATGCGGTGCAAGTTTTTTAGCTGTTTTCGGTTTCAGTTTAACCGTTTCAAACCAAACGTTTAAAAGACACTGTCTTATCGCTTCGAATAAATCGTCTTCGCCGCTTTCAAAATAGCTTTTCTCAGTTCGGGTTTGCACTTGGCCAATACTTTCAGAAGTTCGGAGTTCCTCTTCATACAAGCAGACATGATCAAATGAACATTTTACACACGTTCCCACATTTTTATACTCTGGGTTGATAGACATAATGCGTGTCGGTTGGAAAGATCCCGGATCGAATTCGTATCTCGTCAGGACATGTAGGAGTTAAGTCGACAAATAGATAAGAATAAGGTTCTTTCGTTGCCAATTGATAAGCTTGTTGGAAAAACTTCGTTTGACTCGGGTATAGCTGTTTAGCGAGATGAGTAATTTGACTTGCATCGCGAACATTTTTCGTTAAACATAAATAACTTGCATTGAGAGATATTGTGCGATGATCTTTGCTCTGGTGAAACAAGTTTTGCACAATGTAGATTACGCTTAGATTACCATGGTGCGATTTTTTCGTGAACAATTTAGAAATCACTCCGTCTTTCTCACCCATCATATCGTCAATAATGAACAAATTGCGTGTTTCTGGATTGATACTATCCATTATATTATCCGGCAAGCCTTGTATGAATTTTATACCAGGCACTAAATTTTGTATTTCTCCAAACGCATCTTGATATTCGGCATAGAAGTAAATAATATTTTCAGGCGTTGGATCAATCAGCACATTGGCATAGCTGAGAAGCTTTTTCACAAAAGTGGTTTTGCCTGATTTTGTACCGCCAGAAACGAGAAGCCCAAACGGGTGTCTTAACTGTATGGAGTACATGATAAAAATGAAAGCAGATACTTTTCAATCAGTCTATTTATCTTTTGCAACTCGATCAATACCATTGCTTTATCAATAGGCATTTTCCTAGCACGAATAAGGTATGGTTGTCTCTCTTGAGTAGATAGTTTATGAACATTGGTTAAATGATTAGATAACTTTAATAAACCTTTCTTTCCGCACATGGGACAGACCTTACGCGTTCGAGGCATGTTATCAAATGAATGTTCCCGAGCATACCACTGCCTAAATAGTCCCTCCGGGGACTAATTATTGTCCCCGGATGTCCCCGGCACAGATGAATGTCCTCATGGAGACATAATTACCAACATTGGTCCCTATTATAGCCAATTGTTCCTTTAGAAAGTCCCTCCGGGGACTAATTCTTGTCCCCGGATGTCCCCGACACAGATGAATGTCCCCATGGGGACAAAATTACCAACATAGTCCCTATTATAGCCGATTGTCCCTTTAGAAAGTCCCTCCGGGGACTAATTTTTGTCCCGGGAAGTCCCCGGCACAGACGAATGGCCTCATGGAAACATAACTACCAGCATTAGTCCCTATTATAGCCGATTGTCCCTTTAGAAAATCCCTTCGGGGACTAATTTTTGTCCCCGGCACAGATGAATGTCCCCATGAGGCCATAATTACCAACATTAGTCCCTATTATAGCCGATTGTCCCTTTAGAAAGTCCCTCCGGGGACTAATTTTTGTCCCCGGACGTCCCCGGCACAGATGAATGTCCCCATGGGGACACAATCACAGATATTAATCCCTAATAAAGACGAATGTTCCTCTAGGGAGAAAATCCCCGCAGTTGTACCATTACACACATAACTTTAATGTTTGAAATTATTTATTAATTTAAAAACCATAAGGTAATGTATCAAAATTATTTACAATCACACGTTTATTATATACAATACGATAGTCCTTGTTCTCACTCCTCGTCTTTACACTTTTCTCTTTAGTGTCTCTATTTATTTTGTAGGGTATATTTACAGTTATGCTGTCTGTGAGATCAGACAACGCTTCTAAACAAACCATGTCACACATTAAATTAAAATTAACCTTTTGAGCAGTTCTGTAGTTTAAAGTGATCCCTCTAACTTTGCATACTGTTTTGTCTGTGCTTGTCTGGTAGGCATAGTTTTTAGGACCTCCAGACACAAAGGTTGTAATGTAACCTCCATCCAACTCATCCGTTAGTTGACCAAGATAAGATCCCGTCGGCGGCTCCCATTCGTCTTCCTCTGAAACGTAGATAACTGAATCTGTGTCAAAATATAAGACTCGGCGATTTAACTGCTCCAGGACACCATAGAGCTTGAGGCGGGCGTGGGCTGTGGTGAACGCTGCGATGACCACATTTGTCTTTCCATCGGCTTCCACGAATTCGTCAACGTTTTCAAAATGGACTTCGATGAGCTCGTCGTTAATGAAGTTCGCGTCGGTGACGTTAATCTGGTTGCTGGAGAGGAGGTCAAAATATTCAGCTGGGTCCGATATAATTTTGACCTTGGTCAATTTGAGTCGTTGCGCAAACTTTCCTACACAAGAAATGATAGATTTTTAACAAACACTTGTTTTTTCCCAAGTACCGTTAGTGGACAATTTGCCATTGCACTTACCCCAAAAAGAGTTCAACATGAGCTTCGCCAACGCCCTCAGACCAGGATTCTTCACAATCTGTCTTGGATCCAACTGAATACCTTCTTTGGCGGCGTAGTCAGCGATGTACTGCCCCTTTCTTTTCGTCGGTGTCGCATTCCGGCGGAAAGCCACTCGCCTGCAAAAGAGAAAGGAATAATAAGAAACTAATGATGTGACAATATCACACATATGATGAAGCCTTACCTCTTGCTTGATTTTGAGGAACGTATCAATATAGTCCTTGAACAGCCCATCTGTGTGCTCGGGGAAGTGCCAAACTTCGTCGACTCTCACCAGTTTGTAGCCTTTCTCTAGTGCTTTCTCGAGCTCCAAAGTCACCCACGTCCCATGAAGGGTTCGCTCGGCGTCGCTGTGATGGCATGGCTCTTGTTGAAGGTTGTCGGCACAGGCACGACACAACGGGAACATCAATTTACCCTGAGTACGGTAAGGGAGGACGGGGTGGTATAGGGCACGAGGAGGAAGCACAGAACATTTCACCAAACCAAAGTAGTCACTGATAGGTTGAAAGTTCTCAGTAATAATCTTGGGATGGCCAATCGGGTACTCGCCGTATTTGTTACACCTAAAAATTGCTTAAGAAGGTTAACGACAAGCACGTCTGAGTTAAAAGACTTCAACAAGATACATACCATGGGTAGAGGCTGCAGAAATCCACATAACGGATCTTCTCTTCTGGCTGGACGTCGTAGTATAGGCGTGTTGCGTAAGTCCTTCCACCAAAGAATGCATCACGAGGTTCAAGAGGTTCAGAAATCTCGAAATTGTCGAAGAAGTCCTTCATCTCGGGTTCAGAGGCAAGTTGACGCTCAATATCACACGTCCAAATCTCTACGACATTGTGTCCGTTATCCTTTAGGAACTGGATTTTCTCGATGGTTCGCTGCTTAAGATCTTGCATGGTCATATGATTGATCGGATTCACGGTATCTCTAGCATAACATCTTTCGCATCCATGCCACAAGCATCCTTGAATTTCCCAAACAGTGTTTGTTTCAACGTTGAAACCATCGACAAGATACTTGCCAATGCGCTGCTCTCCGTGGTTCCGGGCGTGGCGAATGACGATGTTATCACGTTGAGCAACCCAGGCCAGCATCTTCAAGGCGATGACGGACTGTTTGTTTTCAGGCTTGTACCCGCAAGGAGGAATGACGGCGATGGTGTTCTCCTGGAGGAACGTTTTACGGAAGACGAGATTACAAGCAGAGGCAATGGTGAGACAAGAGGCAAAAGGGTCAACATCTGTGATTTGGCTGAAAAGTTCGCGGAACTCGAGACAACAACGACGCAAAATGTCCACATCGGATTGACAATATCGAAGAATTTCGGCTTGAAAGTCGAACTCGTACTGACGCCGGACTTGCTCGTTGTACCATGAATAAAACTTTTCGCGGTCATCGCTGCTCATGCCATCAGGATCGTAGAACTTCGAGTCTGGAAGAGGTCCAACGTATTCCTGGTTCTCAGCACGGTTAAAGAAATGAGGGAAGTAACCTTTCTGAAGCTCTGTGAGACCAAACGTTTTCGGGAAGGCGGCGAGTTTCATTGGGATGAAACAGAGAGAATCAATAAACTTGATGTTCATTTCGGGGACAGTGAGGGAAAGGATTTTTGCGCCACGGGTAATGATTTCTGGAGTGACACCATTCTTGTAAAGGTATTGTAGAATGAAGTACCCGTCGTAAGCCTGGAAATTATGCGCGACAAACGTCGTATTCGTGTTTTCCTGCTGAAACATCCACTCGCAAAACTCGTCTTTCGTGTTTGGCCCAGAAAAGACTTTCTCGTCACCGCTTTCGTTCTGGACTACGCAGAGATTGGGAACGTGTTTACCATCGTCTTGCGTGCATTCGAAGTCAAAGAACATTAAGTTTTTGGTGTCTTCTACGTCGTTTTCCACGGCCACATCATCATCGAGCAAGTCGTTTCGTTCTTCAGGGGATCGTGTCTTCTTCGCCTTCACAGGTTGAAGATAGCATTGATGGTTTTCAGGCTTGACGTATTTTTGACAGGTGGAACATCTGACTTTGCCACAATGATGATCGCGAAGACTGGCACGAGTAACCACACGTTTGCATTTCTTGCATTTAATTAAAGCACAGCACATGGATTTGGCAGGACCAGCGTCATCTTTATGGCGGTTGAAGCATTCGTCACTTTTAAAGAACCGGTTACAGTATTTGCAAAATTTCCATTCAACGATGGGACAGTTCTGGGTATTACACAGCTTGTACAGATCGCCACATGGATGGTCAGTAATCTTGTCGTATCCCTTCTTACATTTATGACAATACTGTGTACGGGCGAGGAAGGCAGGCATACTGGTGATGACATCGTAATGGTTATCGTGGTGGTACAGGTATAAACATTTGTCTGATTCAGGACCGGAATAAATCATGGCGTTTAAATGTTCTTTAGAGACCACGTTGAGCTGATAACCAGGAAGAGCAGCTTGGAACTTCTTGATTTCTGGGATACCACAGGAACCATGAGGAACACATGCAGACTCGTGGAGTTCTCGAGCTAAGCGAGTTTGCATGGCCCTTTGATGGTTAACAATACTTCTGTATTGGGGGTCGTTATCCAATTTCGCTTTGGCCACCACGATCGCGCGGGCACAACAGAGATCATCTTTGTTTTTGATTTGAACTATGCCTCGTTTTTTCGTCAAATAGCTTTCCAAGTTCACAACATCACGTTTACGCCCAGTACCACCCTGAGGCATTTCGACATGGACCACGTTGACGCTGACAGAGTCATCCAAAGTAAACTGGTTATTGGACTGTACAACACGTTCAACAGCCGCCAGGAAACGTTCTGGGGTTAGACGATCCCGTTGTAGGAAAGGCAAGGAAATGGATTTGTCCAGCTGATTCGAGTTGAGGATCAAGCGAACTTGATCGTGAGGTGCCATGTCACTCGTGAGTCGGTCAAATAAGTGTTGAAATGCGCGGTTCAACGTCGACATGACGTTTGACACCCCGTGCACGTCCAACGGATTGAATTGGACAGTGTAGTCTGTACCTAAAAACCGTAATACATTATTGTACTAAGTAATAGCAATCAGAAAGACTATGGTTGGTTAAACACCCAACATTTCATGAGTATAGTGTCTTGCATTAACGTTGGCTTACATTTTGACAGTGTAAACAGACTTTGGCATTGTCCTGGCATTGGGGCCTGACCTATGCCTGGAAATCTGGGTTCAATACAAGTGGTGGCCTAGGCCTAGGCTTGTGGACGTGTAAACACGTGCATGGCCTGCGTCTTATTTTCATGGCAACGTATGTCCAGAGTGAGAGATTAACGGACAACATGATTTATATATCTGATTGCAGCGAACGAACAAACCTTAAAGCTATCACTCATTGGACATACAATAATCATTATAGAGATTACCCAGTAATATAGAATAATCCACCTAAAAAACGGGAGGTCGTGGTTTGTACAAACAAGGCTATTTATCGGATAGTGCTATACTTTAGCTACAATTCAAATCATAAGCCCTGTAAATACTAAAGCTTTATTTGAGAGTTATGGCCATTTATAAAAAGCCTATGCGTTGGATAGGTTTGTACAGCCAGTGGTACACACAAGCAATAAACATAACTCTTATAAGCCTCTGTTTACACTATACCGGATTCGCTGGTCACGACGACGTCTTTTGCCGTTACGGAGCAATGGTTAGTAGCAAATGCTTATTAGTTTGACAGAATTGACATGTTTATTTGAGTCTCTGAGATTAAAAATCTTCACTGCCTTTCGATAGCTACCAAATATGACCCACTGCGATAGCAATCCGGTATAGTGTAAGCGGAGCCTAATAAAAACGAAACCTTACTCACACATAACAATCTATATCCCTCACGTAACTGATGTTACGTTTAAAAATACACGCTTAAAAATATAAAAACAGTTTGTGTACCTGTCGTCCTGAATTTCCTCACGTTAACTTGTTTCACCGATTTAATAGTGAAATACTCTTCTGGTCTTTGGCGTTTTGAGGGGGCATCACCACTGACGTGCTTTCGTTTGCTCCCTTCACCCGTTTGATTTTCTGGCAACTGTTCGAGTTCGCATAAACCATCATCATTGGCCCAGTCTTCGTTGAACAGGCGACGTTGATCCTCGGTCCAGTTTGCCATCATATTAGGGTCAACTCCAACCGGATTCTCCCGTTCAATATCTTCGGCCATCGCGTTCGTCCAAAATATTATACGTTGTTGAAGAACAGCTTCCTTCTGCTCATCAGTGAGCATAAACGACTCCTGAAGAAAGTCGAGTTCACTTTCAGCCTCACAAGCTTTGATAAGATCCAACATATTAATCTAGAAATATCATAAACATATTAATCTAAAACTATTGTAAACATATATTCAAAAACAAATTTTATTCAGCCTATGACTCTGAAACTATCGTAAACATATATTCAAAACAAATACACAAACTTACTGAATGAGCCATTTTAAAAAACAATCCAACGCAATCCAAAAGCAGAGAACACTTCAGAACCAGAGAAAACCAGAGACCACTCGCCAAAATGCAACAGTGAGAAATGAAACGTGTGTTTGATACACGATATTTATAATCTCTGATAATTTGTTTGGTCGCGCTACTGTGTTGTGCCGCTAATTGATCTCATTACTGTAATGCTTTGTTGCCTGTCACAGTTGGCCCAGACCTGCCCGCGTTAATTGGTCGCGCTACCTGTCACAGGGTTAGGGTTAGGACCAGCAAAGTTGCGTCACATATCTTGCATACTAATTACTTCCGCCGCCAGAGCTTGCATACTAATTACTTCCGCCGCCAGAGCTTGCATACTAATTACTTCCGTTGCTATATGGGGGGTATTACTACTCAAGTGTGTTTATGGCGTGATAATGCACACAGGGAATGTTGGGAGGCGTATAGCTTTTTTACCGAGTTTTTTACCTGGTTCTCAAATATTCTCGCAACATTCCCTGAGTGCTATCAACAAAAACAGTCATGGACCCGTGACTAACCATTGAATTTTTATTAAATTATTAATAAAAATAAATTTAATAACTATTTAAGTTGGTGAACACTGCCAGTATAAAACAGCTCCACGTTTTGAACCATTCACATTTTAAGTGCCTTGCCAAACCAAACTTTAAGCTTTACACGTACCAAGCGTTTGAAACAATGCAGCATTTCTAAAATGATTAATTGGTCAATGTGATCATCAACAAAGTGATAACCTGCATGACACCAGGTTTTTTTCCAGGATTTTCTCTTGGGCCCGTTTTCGCAGGGAAGATTGAGTTTAGCTGAACAGCTGGGGTGGCTGCACCCCCCCCCCCCTTACTGGGGAGCTGACACTCAATATATGTAGTTGAGATGAAATGTGTTAAAGCAGGGGCACTAAGGGAACACGAATCAAGGTCAGTTTAACAGGGATGGATTTATGATTTATGGGAGGGGGTGCAGGAAGATATAAGTCTATAGTCGATAAAATTTTAGTATCCTGTGTATATCAGGATGGTGCAAATTTGAGGCCCTGCATTATCTTACCAACTTTACCCCCTGTAGCTTGCTCTGACTAGTGATTATGTGCTTGCAGCTGCTTGCCCGCGCAAGCTTGAAAATAAGCGGGCGGTCAAGGACATTGTCCGGTGCGAAAAGGTTATTGTCTGGCACAACAGTTTGTCCGGTAGCATATTTAAATGGATACAACTATTGGTGAAACTTTCTACAACTGGCATTAAAAATTTAATTATGTTTCAAAATATTTGTTACTGAGCTTTTCATTGGCTTCTTTTATTCAAGGCCCACGGAAAACTATATTTGCTCTGTTGCGTTCATATTTTCTGTCAGACACAAAATGTCAATTGTCCGGTGTACGTAACGCGAAATTTCTGACTTGCGAAATATCTGACTATTGCAGAACTGCTCATGCGCAGACGATGCGCGTGTCTGAGTGACTTTGGCTCATAAATTTCGCAACTCAACTGACAACACGTGTATAAAGTCATTTTGTTGTATAATAGTTATACATAAATTTTCAAATTCTGCGCTTGAATCGATACTATACCACTGGTTGTGAACGTTAGCGTTCACCGATAATAAAGCTTGAATCTAAAATCTGCGAATGAAAAAGGCAATCGAAAAGCGCTCTTAGTGATATAAAATGGAATCCAGGGTCCAAGGTGATGCTATATGCATTATTATAAGCACCAAAAATCGTTTCGCGTTTGACCTTCTCACTATTTAGAAGCAGCAACAGTGAGTTCGTGTATTGGCTGTTTAGATTTAGCGATGTTTATATTAGAAACATGTAGCGATACTATTGCTAAATGTGGACTTCATGACTTCATTTGGTGGAATTAATATTACAATGTTAGGGTTTGGAATCCAAGTGAGAATATATACATTTTAAGACCTAACCAGGAACGACTGCGAAAAATGCAGCACAAGGTCCTATGGACTGGTAACGCCGTTTATGGACTTAAAAATCGTTTCGACCGACTCGGCCGCACGACACTTTGTCAGGCTTGGTTGTACCCAAGTTATAGTATGGCCAAGGCTTGATGAGTACCCCCGTACCAGGTCTCACGGCATTTTTTAACTATATAACAACTGGGGCATTTACCCCAGTAGACCCTTTGCTTGCCCCAGTAGTGAATCCTGATTTTCAGGATTTGCCCCAGTAGTGAATCCTGATTTTCAAGCTTGTTGAAAAAGCTGCATCTGCTTAGCACAGGCAGGGGCGGCGCTAAAAGGGGGTTGTCATGGGTGTGGAACACCCCCAATCGTCAGGTAGTAGGCAAATTATCTAATCCCAGTTGGATGAAAAGAAATACTAATTAGCGTTTGAAATTAGTAGGCAATATTTCACTTACACCCACCCACCCGCCTATTCAAATAGCGCCAGCGCTGCCCCTAAGCACAGAGTGATTTTTATGTACCCATACAAACTGTGGGGAAAAGGCCCTCATTGAGACTTAGCCCCAGTAGTTGTAATTTCTTAAAAAATGCCCTGCTAGGTCTGGTTGGACGCATGCATTATTGCATTCCTTGATGAGTAAAATTGTCTAAACAGAGTAAAGTAATAAAAAGGACAAGATACATCAGGACATTGCCACTTGAAGAATTATAAATGATCGCTTGTCCTTATATAATATGGCATGTGATATCCCTAATCAATTAGTAATTGTTGAGCAGGTTATATCATAATCTTACTACAAGTTACATTATCGCAAGGCCGAAAGTGCTGCCGATGAACGCTATGCGGAATGGAATGAATAATGTCATTGGGATGCATGCTGTTGGCTATTGCCCCTAAACATGTTGTACAAAAGTATGTTTTACTTTTTCATATACAAGCACACGTCTTGCCTGTGGTTCTAATACATTACGGGTTCAAATTATCATAAACCTGTAATCCTGCGAATAATTTCACTGTTATAAATGTTCCATTATTTCCATTCAGTTATCGCTGTTGATTTGGACGATGTAAGGTTTTTGTGGTTAGCACTAACCATAATGTAGAAAACCGTAAAAGTGTCGTCGTGTGACAGTCATGCGCACCATAAAAGTGTCGTCGTGTGACAGTGCGTGGCCTGTGCATGTGCGGAATGTTGTAGTTAAAGGCATGCGAAAGAGACGTTGGTTTATGAAATTTAGCCTGTAAACAGACGTTACTCTCGACGAAGCGCGCGAAAGAACGTCTGTGAGTTGGATGGAGATTCCTTGTTTTGGCCACGTAGATTTTCCACAGATTATTGGAAAGGCCTCTGATTGGACAGTGCTAGCTTTATTTGAATAATATATGACAAATGAAGATATTGTATAGTGTTTACACGCTTCCTCGTATTCTCCCAACATTCCCCGCGTGCATTATCACATCATACGCATGTGACGAGTTTTTCTATTTCTTAAATAATTCGCATGTAGGAATACACACGCAATACGCGCAACTTGGAACAAATCCCATAGCATTGATAAAATGACAACATTGTTATTACCTGTTGACCGGCATGGTAGTACAAGCCAGTATGAGATCAGTGTCATGGATACTTACATATAGTACAGTAAGTTGGCATACATAGATCGCAGGTGCCTTTTTCCCGCCATAATGTTTATATTGTACCTCATGTTTTGTAGTTTTATGTTTTATATTTGTTTGTAAAAGTAAACCTAGGAATTAACCGTTGATATTTGTAGCCCATTTTCTCCAGTCTTTTCTATACATAACAGCCAGTGATTCAGTGGTACACGCCTGTTGCGAAGACATCTTGTTGACAAACTGTGAGAGTTTTATGTGTGTACAATATTATAGGCAGTCAAAGAGATTCGTACAGGCTGAAACACTGGCAGCGTTTGCCATGTTTAATATCTACAGACTAAAAATTAACATCCTGGTCAAGGGAATTAAGCTATTGAGTATTGTTCGGGGCTTTGTAAACTCACGAAAGCAGATCTTACTACAAGTTACATTATCGCAAGGCCGAAAGTGCTGCCGATGAACGCTATGCGGAATGGAATGAATAATGTCATTGGGATGCATGCTGTTGGCTATTGCCCCTAAACATGTTGTACAAAAGTATGTTTTACTTTTTCATATACAAGCACACGAAGAGCCTGTGGTTTTTAATACATTACGGGTTCAGATTATCATAAACCTGTAATACTGCGAATAATTTCACTGTTATAAATGGTTCCATTATTTCCATTCAGATATCGCTGTTGATTTGGACGATGTAAGGTTTTTGTGGTTAGCACTAACCATAATGTAGAAAACCGTAAAAGTGTCGTCGTGTGACAGTCATGCGCACCATAAAAGTGTCGTCGTGTGACAGTGCGTGGCCTGTGCATGTGCGGAATGTTTTAGTTAAAGGCATGCGAAAGAGACGTTGGTTTATGAAATTTAGCCTGTAAACAGACGTTACTCTCGACGAAGCGCGCGAGAGAACGTCTGTGAGTTGGATGAAGATTCCTTGTTCTGGCCACGTAGATTTTCCACAGATTATTGGAAAGGCCTCTGATTGGACAGTGCTAGCTTTATTTGAATAATATATGACAAATGGAGATATTGTATAGTGTTTACACGCTTCCTCGTATTCTCCCAACATTCCCCGCGTGCATTATCACATTATACGCATGTGACGAGTTTTTCTATTTCTTAAATAATTCGCATGTAGGAATACACACGCAATACGCGCAACTTGGAACAAATCCCATAGCATTGATAAAATGACAACATTGTTATTACCTGTTGACCGGCATGGTAGTACAAGCCAGTATGAGATCAGTGTCATGGATACTTACATATAGTACAGTAAGTTGGCATACATAGATCGCAGGTGCCTTTTTCCCGCCATAATGTTTATATTGTACCTCATGTTTTGTAGTTTTATGTTTTATATTTGTTTGTAAAAGTAAACCTAGGAATTAACCGTTGATATTTGTAGCCCATTTTCTCCAGTCTTTTCTATACATAACAGCCAGTGATTCAGTGGTACACGCCTGTTGCGAAGACATCTTGTTGACAAACTGTGAGAGTTTTATGTGTGTACAATATTATAGGCAGTCAAAGAGATTCGTACAGGCTGAAACACTGGCAGCGTTTGCCATGTTTAATATCTACAGACTAAAAATTAACATCCGGGTCAAGGGAATTAAGCTATTGAGTATTGTTCGGGGCTTTGTAAACTCACGAAAGCAGATCGCTTGCCTCTAGATTGAACACTACAAATCTCCTGATGGTTAGCAGAAAGAAATAAAGCCATTTATGTTGAGGAGTTCACTCCTCTGCTGGTTCTCACAGAATCAACTAACACACATTTCACAACTTTTCCATATATATTTAAAAACAATCCTTGTTACAACGTTCAGTCTGTGCCGCAATGGCCAACTGACTAAAACAATCAGTTTACAATCATTTTAACTATCTTAATTTACATGCAAGTGACACGTACGTCCGGTGACGTTCACAACTTATCATTAACAAAATACTGTTCCAATGAGATAATCCTAGCCCATGGCTGAGGAATCTAACTTATTTCCTACTTACTTTAATCAACTAAATATATCTTTTAACAATAACATAACTAAATTAACTAATACAATATATAGGAATATATGACACACTCCCCCCCTTGAACCCTTACGGTTCAAGCATGGCCTGGGTTTTCCAGATGGAGTCTAATGCAGCGGCTCTACGAGCTGGTCTGTGTGGCCTGTCGCTATTCTCGCAAGACTGAGTTTCAACATCACCATCAACATCAGACTTATCACTTCGAATCTCCAACGGATACAATCTCTGCACTGGCCTATTCAAAAACTTCGTTCGCTCCGTCTCAACCATCTTAACCATTGCTCCTCTCACAACCCCATCCTTACCCTTAATCAACCTTTCGACCACAGCTACCTTCCAAAACCCACGCTTCACTCGTTCATCAAACACCAATACAACATCTCCCAAATCCACAACTACATCACTAGTTTTCTTCTTACCCTTATGGTACTCTCTAAGATCAGCCAAATACTCTCGCCTCCAACGAGTCCAGAAATGCTCTCTTAACCTTCCCAAAAACCTATACCTCTTGCGATGCCCTTCAACCTCGTCTGCCTCATCATCGTCAACCATCCCCACATCATCAGGCATAGATTGAAGTCGGTAGCCAAAGATAAGGTGAGATGGCGTCAATACTTCCACCCCTACCTCGTCGTACTCGTAGGTTAACGGTCGTGAATTGATAGTACCCTCGATTTCAATTAAATTGGTCAAAAGTTTGTCATAGGTTAGTTTTGCCTTACCCAAAATTTTCCTTAACGCTCGTTTTACCGTTCCTACCATTCTTTCGAAAAACCCTCCCCACCAAGGAGATTTCTCTAGATTAAAACGCCATTTTATACAATTATTTGCCAAATAACCGCTTAATTCATCATCATGCAAATTCCGCACTAGCTTTGATGCAGCCTTAAACGTTTTTGCGTTGTCTGACACAATCAAACTTGGTCGACCTCTTCGGGAGCTAAATCGATTCAAACACCTCATAAAATTAGTTGTAGTTAGACTTCGAACTAGATCTAAATGAACCGCTCTTGTTACGCAACAAGTCCATAGGGTAATGTAAACCTTTTTTATTTCTTTGCCCTCTTTTATATACAGGGGCCCTGCGAAATCGACTCCTACTTTCGAAAATGGAAGCGATTGTCTTACTCTGAACTCGGGTAAGCTAGCTTGCTTCTGGAGCTGTAAATGATCTACCTTCATGTTTTTTGCAGACAAAACATTTTCCTAAAATTGTTTTCACCGCTTGCCTGCCTTTTGGTATCCAATACCTACTTCTAACTTGAGCTAGTGTCGCACGTAAACCACTATGTAAAACTTGTTCATGGCAAGCCTTAATAATTAGTGCTGTCAACGGGTGGTCTCTAGGCAAAATCCTAGGTTGCCTACCTTCTAAATCCAAATCTGAATTATTTAGTCTACCCTTACATCGTAATAAACCTTCTTCCTCTACAATTTGAAGCCGGTCAACTAACTGTTCATAATTTGTCTGCCTTCTCAAGCTAACTTGTGCTGCCTTTACCCAAGCAATTTCTGCCTGCTTTATCTCCTCCGCCTTCAGATTACCTACAATTTTAGGTTGTTTATGCTTACGCGCACGCACATTATGAATGAACCTTAGTACTCGCGCGGTAACTCTAAGTAACTTATGCAATGATCCAATTCGATTTATATCCAAAACGTTGGCTAAACTTGATTCGTCTTGCGTTACGGTACTCGCAAGTGTAGACTTTTTCAGTTCTTCGTGCATTTCTATTGTCTCAGCTATTTCGCATGGAACCGGCCACATACTTTGGGGACCTGAAAGCCAAACGGGTCCCTTCCACCACAATTCATTGGCCTTGACAGAAGAAGCATTACAGCCTCTTGATCCTATGTCGGCCGGGTTTTGTTCCCCAGGGCAATGTCCCCAATGTGCTTTGTCACTTAATTTCAAAATCTCATTTTCTCGATGTCTAATGAACTGTTTCCACTCGCCTTTATTGTTCATCCAACAAAGCACAGTCTTACTATCAACCCAAAATCTAGTTTTTAATTCAGTAACTTCATGCCCCAATGCCCTTTGTACTGTGGACATCAATTTTGCCAAGATGAATGCGGACATTAATTCTAGCCTAGGTATTGTTTGTGTCTTAAGTGGTGCAATCCTAGTTTTGGATGTTAACAACGATGAATACAACCATTCAATTCGCAAACAAAATATATTACGGCGCTATAAGCCTTCATGCTTGCATCTGAAAATCCGTGCAATGTACAATTCTGTGTGTTACCAATTAACCCGTACAAACATCTGTTAATAATGATTTCCTTAATTAGCTTCAAATCTAATAGCCACTCATTCCAATGTCGTTTCATTTCGTCAGGTATTTCTATATCCCAATCGAGGCCCGCTACACAGATCTCTTGAAACAAAACCTTTACAGTAACTAATATCGGACTGACTATTCCTAAAGGATCATACAGCGCCGCCAAAATACTCAATATGTTACGTTTCGTGGGGATCAACCCTGTTGCTCTGTCGGCAACTCGCGCTAAATCGAAATGGAATGTATCAGTTTCACAATTCCAAGTAAAGGGAGTCTTAATACCTTCTCCAAACGAGTCTCGTCACACGCTTCTAATGCGCATTTTGCATAGGATTTCTCGTCTTCTAATTGTCGGACTTTCTCGCCAGTTTCTACCTTATCCTCGCTCTCGCGCGCTTGTATAGCCTTTCTTACTGTGTCACTGTTTGTGAGCCATTTGCGCAATCGAAATCCACCGGCTAAAAGTGTTTGTTTCGCGTCTCTATACAATTCAACGGTTTTTTGATCCGACTGTTCGCCTGAAATTAGATCGTCGACATAAAAGCTGTCCTTTAGCTTTTGCACAAATTCTGGTTTATTAAACGCATAGGAGTCAAGATGGTAGCGCAATGTTGCGTTCAATAGAAATGGCGAACAGTTTACGCCAAAAACAACACGGCAAAATCTATACACAACAGGCATAATCTTATCGCTGCTTAGATCATCTACCCATAAAAATCGCAAAACATCTCGGTCGGTTTTCGCTATTTCAACATTAAGAAACGCCTTTTCTATGTCGGCTGCGAGCGCTACGCGTTTTTCTCTAAAGCGCAAAAGAATTTCAAACAACAATGGTGTTAATGGCGGTCCAACATGCAAGCAATCATTTAATGAAACGCTATTTTTACCTTCCTTACACGAAGCGTCATACACTACCCTCACCTTCGTGGTCTTCGCTTCCTTCCTAACAACTGCGTGGTGAGGTAAATAATGAACCTTTTCTGCCCTTTCTAATTCTACAACTGGTTCAATTATTCCTGCTTCTAGCTGGCTACTAATAACTTGGTTATATTCCTCCAAAATATCCGGATCTCGCTTCAGTTTTGAAATTTGGTTTTTAAGTCGTTTTAAACTATTGTTGTAATTCAAAGGTAAGGGTTCATGCCCTTCCTTCCACGGCAAATGTACTTGATAACGATTACCGTTGAAGCTAATTGCTTCTTTCAAGGCTTCATGCACTTCGTCCTCTTCGCGTATACCTAGAGTATCAAGATCCCACAACCTATGAACATTGTCAGACATATATGGACTAGAAACATGCTCTTCTTTAATAATATTAACACAACTTACCTGTGCTTTTGCGCCATCTTCACCTTTCCCCTTGACTTGCCCTGAAAGAACCCAACCTAAAGTTGTCTCAACCGCCACTGGCTCATGAGCTCTTCCACGCACTATAGTACCGCTCTGAAAGCACCAAAGAAAATCCGAACCAACCAGAATATCTATATCAAATACTTCACTGCTCTTACACACATCCGAGAACCAAAGTCCCCGTAAGTGAGGATATTCCCCCTTTCGCAACTCAATATGCTCATTTCGAACTTGAGCAATAGTTTCAACACAATACGCTTCTATAGTAACCGCTTCTCCCCCCTTGCAAGGTGCAATCTCAAGGTCAAAAACATCTCGCAGCTTATAATCATTCATCGCTTTACCAAACGTGCTAATTTCTAACCATTCTTTCCTTTTTACTGGCAACCCCGCAGCCCTTACGACCTTGGAAGTCACGAAAGACTTATGACTCCCCGTATCAAACATCACGCGAATTCGTGCTGCATTTTGAGCACCTTTCAGTATACCTTGCGCAGTTTGCAACACCACTCGACTCTCGGATCGAACATGCATTGTTGGACTTCCATTACTGGCCGAAACATTTCCCTCCCCTTTGGATTCACAAAGAGATACATGGTGGCCCCCCTTACTACATATTTTACAATTAGTTTTTCGACGGCAGTCCTTGGATACATGTCCTTTACTTAAACATGCAAAGCATCGTCCATATCTACGTGCTACTAATTTTCTATCCTTTACACTACTTACTTTATCACAGCTCTCATGAGCGTGTCGTCCCAAGCAATAAGCGCATCTTTCTTCTTCTGATTTGGCTATCAAGGCTGACGCACTTCGAAGATCACCCTTGGCATTGCCGTTTTCAGCTCGTGGTGGTTTAGGTGTCCAGTGTTCTTCCCGCAATTCTAGTTCACTCAACAGTTCACTCAACAAATCGTCCATATTCCATTCGTCGTGTTTCTTTCCTCGCGTAATGCTTAGTCGTACAGTTTCTGGTAGTTTGTCTATTATAGCTGGCACCACAATTGAAGAGTAACTTTCCTGTTCTACGTTAAGAGCTTTCAGTCCACGGTGGTGCGTTTCTGTCGCGTCGTACAATGCTCGCAATCTCGAAGGGTCTCGGTCGCTGTAGACTGGTTGAAGCTTCAGTAATTCCCTTATATGCGTCTTTTGTATGACGTTACTTCGCCCGTATCTTTGCTGTAGTTGTTCCTTTGCACTCTTGTAATTTGCTGACGTTAAAGCATACCCAGAAATACAATCTCTCGCCTGATCCTTTAATAGTCCACGTAAATACGAGAACTTGTCCACCTCTGATAAATCAGGGTTTTCATCCACCGAGCTTTTAAACGAATCCCAAAATTCTTGCCATCGCTCGATTTTCCCGTCAAACTTTCGCAATTCGAGTTTCGGTAACCTCACGCGAACGGATTTCTTGCTGGATACAGTACTTTCATTTAAGCTCGCTCCCTCACTGTTCGCTTCGCTTTCGCTATTCTTTTGCGGCAGGGCTTCTTCCAACAATCGTATGGCACCTTTTATATCCGCCCTCAATACTCCTGCCTCTTCGATCTCGTTTGCAATAACTGCTTCCTCGGTCTCGTCTTTGTCTTCTAAAACCTTTAAGATGTCGTTATCCAGCGTTTGGATTACTCCAAGTCGCTCTTCCAAGGAGGCCTTTCGATTATATAACGTCTCTCTTTCCAATTCAGGATTGGAAAGCAGTCCTTTTACCTCTCCCAGGGTTTTCTTAACGAACGAACGGTGTCCACCGCGCGTCCGTTTTTCCTTTTCAAATCGTCCATTTTTCAATCTCACAATCAAACCATCGCACAATCAAACTATCCCACAATCAAACGATCCGGCTCGAAGGACCATGTGTTGAGAAGTTCGCTCCTCTGCTGGTTCTCACAGAATCAACTAACACACATTTCACAACTTTTCCATATATATTTAAAAACAATCCTTGTTACAACGTTCAGTCTGTGCCGCAATGGCCAACTGACTGAGACAATCAGTTTACAATCATTTTAACTATCTTAATTTACATGCAAGTGACACGTATGTCCGGTGACGTTCACAACTTATCATTAACAAAATACTGTTCCAATGAGATAATCCTAGCCCATGGCTGAGGAATCTAAGTTATTTCCTACTTACTTTAATCAACTAAATATATCTTTTAACAATAACATAACTAAATTAACTAATACAACATATTGGAATATATGACACAAGGTTCCTGGCAGTGAGGATAAGGTACCTGGCGGTTAGGACAAGGTTCCTGGTGGTGACGACAAGGTTCCTGGCGGTGAGGACAAGCTACCTGGCGGTGAGGACAAGGTTCCTGGCGGTGACGACAAGGTTCCTGGCGGTGAGGACAAGGTTCCTGGCGGCGAGGAGAAGATAACTGGGGTGAGGACAAGGTTCCGGCCTGTGTGTACAAGGTTCCCGGCAGTGAGGATAAGGTACTTGGCGGTGAGGACAATGTTCCTGGCGGTGAGGACAAGGATCCAGGTGGTGAGGACAAGGTTGCTGGCGGTGAGAACAATGATCCTGGCGGTGAGAACAAGGTTCCTGGCGGTGAATACAAGGTTCCTGGCGGTGAGAACAAGTTTCCTGGCGTTGAGGACAAGGTTCCTGGCGGTGAGGACAAGGTTCCTGGCGGTAACGACAAGGTTTCTGGCGGTGACGACAAGGTTCCTGGCGGTGGGGACAAGGTTCCTGCTTCCTGGCGGTGGGTACAAGGATCCTGGCGGTTAGGACAAGGTTATTGCCGGTGAGGACGATGTTGTTGTCGGGGAGGTCAAGGTTCCTGGCGGTGACGACAAGGTTCCTGGCGGTGAGGACAATGTCCCTAGTGGTGCGGACAAGGTTCCTGGCGGTGAGGACAAGGTTCCTGGCGGTGGGACAAGGTTCCTGGCGGTGAGGACAAGGTTCTCGCCGGTCAGGACAATGTTGCTGGCGGGGAGGATAGGTTCCTGGCGGTGGGTACAAGGTTCTTTGCGGTGGGACAAGGTTACTGGCGGTGAGAACAAAATTCCTGGCAGTGAGGACAATGTTGCTGGCGGGGAGGACAAGGTTTCTGGCGGTAAGGGCAAGGTTCCTGGCGGTGAGGACAATGTCCCTAGTGGTGCGGACAAGTTCCTGGCGGTGAGGACAAGCTTCCTGTCGATGAGAACAATGCTCCTGACGGTCAGGACAAGGTTCCTGGCGATGAGGAGAATGTTCCTGGCGGTGAGGACAAGGTTCCTTGGCGGTGAGGACAGTGTTCCTGGCGGTAAGGACAAAGATCCTGGCGCTGACGACAAGGTTCCTGGCGGTGGGGACAAGGTTCCTGCTTCCGGGCGGTGGGTGCAAGGTTCCTGGCGGTGAGAACAAGGTTCTTGCCGGTGAGGACAATGTTGCTGGCGGGGAGGACAAGGTTCCTGGCGGTGAGTACAAGGTTCCTGGCAGTGAGGATGAGGTACCTGGCGGTGAGGACAATGTTCCTGGCGGTGAGGACAAGGTACCTGGCGTTTAGGACAAGGTTGCTGACGGTGAGTACAAGGTTCCTGGCAGTGAGGATAATGTAGCTGGCGGTTAGGGCAAGGTTCCTGGCGGTGAAGACAAGGTTTCTGGCGGTGAGGACAAGGTTCCTGCCGGTGAGCAGAAGGTAGCTGGCGGTGAGGACAAGGTTCCTGGCTGTGAGTACAAGGTTCCAGGCAGTGAGGATAAGATACTTGGCGCTGACGACAATGTTCCTGGCGGTGAGGACAAGGTTCCTGGCGGTGAGCACAATGTCCCTAGTGGTGCGGACAAGGTTCCTGGCGATGAGGACAAGCTTCATGGCGATGGGGACAATGCTCCTGGCGGTCAGGAAAAGGTTCCTGGCGATGAGGAGAATGTTCCTAGCGGTGAGGAAAAGGTTCCTTGGCGGTGAGGACAGTGTTCCTGCCGGTGAGGACAACGATCCTGGCACTGACGACAAGGTTCCTGGCGGTCAGGACAAGGTTCCTGCTTCCTGTCGGTGGGTACAAGGTTCCTGGCAGTGGGACAAGGTTCCTGGCGGTCAGGACAAGGTTCCTGGCGGTGAGGACAATGTTGCTGGCGGGGAGGACAAGCTTCCTGGCGGTGAGTACAAGGTTCCTGGCAGTGAGGATGAGGTACCTGGCGGTGAGGACAATGTTCCTGGCGGTGAGGACAAGGGACGTGGTTTTGAGGACAAGGTTGCTGGCGGTGAGTACAAGGTTCCTGGCAGGAAGGATAAGGTACCTGGCTGTTAGGACAAGGATCCTGGCGGTGAAGACAAGGTTTCTGGCGGTGAGGACAATGATCCTGGCGGTGAGAACAAGGTTCCTGGCGGTGAATACAAGGTTCCTGGCGGTGAGAACAAGGTTCCTGGCGGTGAGGACAAGGTTCCTGGCGGTGAGGACAAGGTCCCTGGCGGTGAGGAGAAGGCACCTGGCGGTGAGGACAAGGTTCCTGCTTGTGACTACAAGGTTCCTGGCAGTGAGGATAAGGTACTTGGCGGTGAGGACAATGTTCCTGGCGGTGAGGGCAAGGTTCCTGGTGGTGACGACAAGGTTCCTGGCGTTGAGGACAAGGTTCCTGGCGGTGAGGACAAGGTTCCTGGCGATGAGATCAAGGTTCCTGGCGGTGAGAAGAATGTCCCTAGTTGTGCGGACAAGATCCCTGGTGGTGAGGACAAGCTTCCTGGCGATGAGGACAGTGCTCCTTGGGGTCAGGGCAAGGTTTCTGGCGATGAGGAGAGTGTTCCTGGCGGTGAGGACAAGGGTCCTTGGCGCTGACGACAATGTTCCTGGCGGTGAGGACAAGGTTCCTGCTTCCTGGCGGTGGGTACAAGGTTCCTGGCGGTATGACAAGGTTCTTGGCGGTGAGGACAAGGTTCTTGGCGGTGAGGACAAGGTTTCTGCCGGTGAGGACAATGTTGCTGGCGGGGTGGACAAGGTTCCTGGCGTTGAGGAGAATGTTCATGACGGTGAGGACAAGTGTCTGGTGCTAAGGACTATGTTCCTGGTGGTGAGGACAAGGTTACTAGCGGTGAGGACAAGGTTCCTGGCGCTGAGGACAAGGTTCCTGGCGGTGAGGACAAGGTTCCTGGCGGTGAGGACAAGATTCCTGGCGGTGAGAACAATGTTGCTGGCGGTGAGGACAAGTGCTGATGCTGAGGAGAAGTTTCCTGGCGGTGAGGACAAAGTTCCTGGCGGTGAGAACAGGGTATTTGGCGGTGAGGACAAGGTTTTTGGCGGTGAGGACAAGGTTCCTGGCGTTGAGAACAAGGTACTTGGCGATGAGGACAATGTTCCTGACGATGAGGACAAGGTTCCTGGCGGTGAGGGTAAGATTGCTGGCGTTGAGGACAATGTTTCTGGCGGTGAGGACAAGGTTCCTGGTGGTGAATACAAGGTTCCTCGCGGTGAGGACATGGTACCTGGCGCTGAGGACAAGGTGCCTGGCGAAGAGGACAACGTTCCTGGCGGGGAGGACAAGGTTCCCGGCGGTGAGGACAAGGTTCCTGGGGGTGAGGACAAGAGTCCTGGCTGTGAGAACAATGTTGCTGGCGGTGAGGATAAGGTCCTGACGCTGAGGAGAAGGTTCCTGGCGGTGAGTACAAGGTTCCTGGCGTTGAGGATAAGGTACTTGGCGGTGAGACCAATGTTCCTGGCGATGAGGACAAGGTTCCTGGCGGTGCGGGCAAGATTGCTGGCGGTGAGGACAATGTTCCTGGAGGTGAGGACAAGGTTCCTGGTGGTGAATACAAGGTTCCTCGCGGTGAGGACAAGGTACCTGGCGCTGAGGACAAGGTGCCTGGCGAAGAGGACAACGTTCCTGGCGGGGAGGACAAGGTTCCTGGCGGTGAGGACAAGGTTCCCGGCGGTGAGGACAAGGTACCTGGCGGTGAGGAGAAGGTACCTGGCGGTGACGACAAGGTTCCTGCCTGTGAGTACAAGGTTGCTGGCAGTGAGGATAAGGTACTTGGCGGTGAGGACAATGTTCCTGGCGAGGAAGAGAATGTTCCTGGCGTTAAAGACAAGGTTCCTGTCTGTGAATACAAGGTTCCTGGCAGTGAAGATAAGGTTCTTGGCGGTGAGGACAATGTTCCTGGCGGTGAGGACAAGGTTCCTGGCGTTGAGGACAATGTTGCTGGCGGTGAGGACAATGATCCTGGCGGTGAGGACAAGGTTCCTGGCCGTGAATACAAGGTTCTTGGCGGTGAGAACAAGGTTCTTGGCGTTGAGGACAAGGTTCCTGGCGGTGAGGAGAAGGTTCCTGGAGGTGAGGACAATGTTCCTGGCTGTGACGACAATGATCCTGGACCGTAGATACTGTACCATGCATTAAACATAGTCTTAATAAAGACACGTGAATCGTGAGACGGCTGTTTTTTTCGTTGTGTAACGTGATCCATACCCCCCTTTTTCACCCTCAACGAGGAGGTTAAGGAAACATCAACGAAACTGCAAGAAAATGTGGTGTGTCTTATCTTGCCGTTTAAAGATAAAATATCGGCCGATATTGTGCGAAGACAACTCACTGGTCTTGGATGGTTGATAGGGACAGCTCTACGATCGGTTTTCACAAGCAGAAAGGTTCGGGATGATGTTAAAGTACAGGAACTGAAGACGCCCATTGTGATAATGCGTTGTTTGCAAATTTAAATGTGATCCGTGCGATGCAGATTATGTTGGCTATACTTGTCGACACCTACATCAACGCATTGATGGACACAATTCGATTCTACGCTAGTGTCAGGGGAAATATGAGTGCCTTCTCTACGAGATGCTTTACATTTGTGAACTGAAACCATCTTTGAACAAGCAGTCCGACTCGATACTTTCTAAGCTTTTTGCTTAATATTAATTTGTTAATCTTGTTTGTTGTGTTTGTCTGATGTGTAAATAGTTAAATGTTTTTATTGTTTGTTTTTAATATTTTAGTCTTTGTTTTCTTGCGCATTTGGTAAAAATTCTGCATACTTGCGCAATTATTTGTTTACTTGACACGAACACACGCGGACCGTTATAATTGAAGCAAAACACGAATAATTCTTGTTTTTAACTTGAAAATGATGCAAGAAGCATCGAAACGTCGTTGTAATAAAATAAAATTAATATCGCTATCATTTGTTTCAAAGTTAACAATATTATTATTCAAACAATATTATTATTCAAACAATATTAGCAATAGCCCATCACATTTGCCAATGGTAAATTTACTCGTGACTTAATCATGTCCTAGTATAATACTCGGTAATTATAGACGGTGTTTCACTGTAATAACAGGCTTTCCGGAGCGCTACATCTTTTGAAGGCGCTTGGATTAACTTTAGAAAGAGCGTTTAATTGAGTATTTTAATTCTAAAGTTGTGTGTGGGGGAGGGGGGGGGGGGCGGAAGAATTCAACATAATGCTACAGAGCAACAAACACAAAGGTGCGACTCCACGGAGAGGCCGCTTCTACAAAATGCAATAGAAATAACAATAACAATAACAGCAGTAACCATTGCAACAACAGTGAAACAATAATCACATATTTCAACACTTTCGCTTGACTATATGTATACTTAGCGACACCTATTTTTGTCACGTCCGCGTCAGTAGTGTAGACACCACACCTTAAGCTGCGTGCCAAATGGAGAACGTGATTTCGAAATATAATTAAATATAACTGGGTTTTTTTAATTTCTACCATACGAAGAACGAGTTTGTTGTCTGAGTGGTCACTACAGCGATATAATAACTGTAATGTGGCTATTGAATAAGCCATCGCATTTTAATATTTGGTTTGAGTTCCCTAATCCAGCGAGGATCTTGGTTACCTATTCTGCTTTCCCAACACTACCATATTTTGCACCAAACATGCACAAGCTTCTGCTGGTTCATTCTTTGGTCTCTTTGGAGCGCTCTTATCTGGTTTAATACATATATACTTTCCTTAATTGATATTTAATACATATATACTTTCCTTATCCGTTGCATTAATCGTGTAATGGCCCTGTTGCATTGGCAGACAGCATTTATATTTTGCACAAGGAGGTTGAGGACATGTTTTAACCAGCTAAATTGTGATCCCCTGCAATACAGTTTATATGCCCCCTTCCTTCGAGTTTCCTGGAAATTCATTTCCGGTTATTCCTGGAAAATGACTTTAATCGCAGACAACACACCCTGAATTTCGGTGGTCTCACCCCTCCCCTTGGATTTCCCAAGGCCTTTTTTAAACCCCTCCCGTGGATTTTCCATTGTCCTCAACCTCCCCTCCTTGTGCGGGAAATAAATGCAATCTGTCATTGCCACGAACACATCGAAGGGAGGCCAATGTGGTTGGAGTGCAATAAACAGTAAAATCTATGAAAGGGTCAAGTATCAATTGGGACGCAAATCCTTCCTCCAGTCACGCTTATGTCGTTTATGCATGTGAGTTGTCTGTTTGTGTGATTATAGCCTAGTACTTTTTTATATTGGGAAAAATCATTAAAATTAAATTACATGCATGTTAAGTTTGTTTAGATTTCATGCAAATTCACATGAGCAAATAGCAATAAGCAGAAAAGATCCACGCCTTACTTTGTTATAAATTTCTCGAAAATACGTTATAATAAAATTGGTCGCACAATTCTAACAAAATTTTGATTGTTAGAATAATTTAATTTAAGACTATAAAGTCTATTAAATTCTAAGGACTTTTATTGATGCGAGCGAAAATATGCCCTCTGCAATAAGCCGTGAACCGACTCGTACAAACAATCAATTTGCAATAAGCCGCGGCTTACTTGGGATTTAATGAAATGAAATTCATCAACACCGACAGCTGAACATGCGGTTAAGCCGCACTCAAACGAGACATTTCAAGGTCAATAATGATGGTTTGATGAGTGTTCCAGCTACGTTTTAACTTCAATCAAATGCATGATGTAGTGTTGGGAAAACATTAAGAACAGCTAACCAAGATCGAGTGACTTCCAACTCTCATGAACTCTCATCTTCGTTTCATTCGCTTTAAGGCCGAGACACATCGGACGCGATTCGACAAAGCAGCGCGATTTTTCAGTTTTTGAAAGTTAATAAAACAACCAATGAAAGGAAATTGATTTAAAAGATATATGTACACCAAATAATTCAGAATGGTATAGCGCTTCCAAATATTTGAAAAACTTAAATGACGAGGATCAAATTTATATATATATATATATATATATATATATATATATATATATATATATATATATATATATATATATATATATATATATATATATATATATATATATATATATATACATATATATATATATATATTTGTGTTTGTGTGTTCATATACTAAGCCTAGTGTATGTTGTAAACTTAGGCAGCCTGTTTCATCAAAGAGGGATTAGCTGCTTTCAATAAATTAAGGTAAAAACTAGACCATCTGCTCCCTCTATACACATTCGTATAGACATAAATTCTAAGAAATATGTTAGTAGTTGGTGTGTGTCGTACCTCTTTATTAATCTTTCGTAGTATTTTTTCAGTTTATGTTGTTAATCTTCTCTTCTCTAGGCGACTTTCAATTAACTCGCAAATTCTGGTCAAAATTCAGCTGGCTTTCTTTTCTACTTCCAAGTTCCAACTGCCCCAAAACAACACTTGTCGTATTTAATGCTCTTACCAGAAAATTATTTTAGTATTACGTGCCACTTGCCAGTCAGATCCGATATACGTCAACTCGTCACCAGACTGCTGAAATTTTCAACTTTTATTCTGCCAAATATTAGGTAGTTTCAAACGTGAAATGAACGTGAATGATTATTCGTTAATAGCCCGCGTGCAGGCTCAAGGGAAGAATAGTGGGCCTGCAAGCAAGGCCCAATCTCGTTCCCAGAGTATGCCTGTTCGCAGGTTATCTAGTGGCATGACTCTGGGGAAATCGAATTTTTTTACCCAAAATGAGATAAATGGCGCATGCGCTTTTATTGCTCTTGTTTATTCCGCTTACTAAATTCGCGCGGGCACACGCTAACAATCGATATATATGTTTGAACAGATTCTCATCAGAATATCGTATAAAAAATAGTTTTTTAAACGTTTAAAAGTTCTTTAAAACACACTACTATTAAACTATATTCAATGGCAAATATTGAAAGAGCTATTAAAGCTGCTATAGGGAAAAGAGGGCTTGAATTTTCGTTAAAAGATGAGACATTGTATTTCGGCGGGACTCGACCATTTGTAAAATGGTGAAGATGTTTTGGTCGTACTGTAGATCGATAAAAAGTCATTCATAAATAACATGCCATTTTGTAAGTATTTACCCAACGTCCCAATACATTTTCATATTATATCCTTCGATTTATATTGTTTGATTTCGCATTCCAAATCTGATAAACATTGATAATTCTCTCTTCGCGTATGTCCACGCGTCATTCTCGTAAAAACACGCATTAATTGTGTCGGCAGCATTGATGATCGCGGCAGCCAATCAAATAACGATTTCGATTCGATTTCCCCAGAGTCATGCGACTACATAACCCGCGAACAGGCATACTCTGGGAACGAGATTGAGCAAGGCCCGGTATTTTGTACTTTCCGCGTTCGCCCACGAACGTGGCATTCTGATTGGCTGTTTGCTGTTGGATTCTATAATTAGATCAGTGATTCATCACAAAGGCTCTCGATAAGCTTAAAATTCGAAAATTGATCACTTTTTTCGATTACAAATGCAACAACAACAGACTGTTTATTGTTTACTGAAGGAAGAGATGTTCTTGCCGTTATGCCAATGGGGATTGCTTGTCGTGAAGTGTTGGAATAGCAACATTTCGACTGGGGTAAATTATAGTAACTTGAGTTTCATTAATTTCAAACAGACTTGAAACGTTATATGTTCCTCAACAAAATTATCTTTTGGTTGATATTGACTCAGAGGCAGTTGCATGTAAGCCTATTCGAAACACTTTGCGATTTGCAAGGCTTCGCTGAGAGAGCGAAACAGAAGACGGTAATTGGAGTTTGAAACGAAACGATCTGGACTCTGAACGCTGTCTTCTTTTGTGGAGTTCTTTACCAAATGAAATAACTGAAATAAATTTCGTACTTTCCGCCGCCAACAAGAATTACACACACGATCTGATAAGCGAGACAATTTATTTATAACAATGGCGACAGCGAAACACACATTATAAATCGGCTAATGTGGTCGCACGACTTCCCTCACGATTTGAAGTTTGAGATTGGTTTTCTATTGAAATTCGTCCTAATTTGCCTGTTCCGATTTTAGTTGAAAATGAGCACTTGCAAATTTGGCAATTACTGACTGCGTTGCTTGCTTTTTTGGAGTTAAAACGCAGCCATTTACACATTGTTTATGTTCTGAATAAGCAGAGAAAACCCCGCAACATTTTAATGCGAGTTTGTTTGTTAATATTTGGGTGCTGTCATTGGTTCTTTTTTGACAATTGACGCGCGAATGGGGCGTGTTTTGAAAAGGGGCGTTTTACAAAATACCGGGCCTTGCTTGCAGACCCACAATTCTTCCCTTGGGCCTGCACGCGGGCTAATTCGTTAACAGTATTAAATTGGAGATTTTCTAGACTCAATAGCTACGTTGATTTTTAGATAAGGGACTGTACAAACGCAAAGAATATTTAGCAGAAGGATATGTGTTTAAAATTCGGTTTCTTGCCAACACACCCTGTAGCTACCGTATGGATTTTCCCGCCTTGCGCATGCGCAGTGGACGCATTTTGGCATGGCAAATAGGGCGGCCATTTTGTTTGTTTTAGTTTTTGTTTAGTCGTAGAACCAAACGGTTCTAAACGTAATAGTAAAGGTACAAGTAAAAGTAAACGTAAAATTTGATAATTTTACGTAAGATTTGTATAATGTGACGTTTGTTTCAAATATATGATAATTTTATTCAACATCAGGTGCTATAGTCGGACTATAGTAACAGTTTAGAACCATATTTCTACGAGTTTGGATCGCTATTTGGACTAGTCTATTTGGAGTGTACATTTGTGGCAAGTACAAGTTTATTGGATTGTATTTCTGGAAAGTTTAAGTGTATATTGATCGTCAGAGTCGGAGAATTTGAATTATACGGTATCTTCTCGTTAGGAACGGGTTAGTTTGAGTATATTTTCTCGACAAAGACGGTGTATTTCAAGTATATTTATATCGTCAGGGACGGTGCATTTGAACTGTATTTTCTCGTTAGGAACGGGTTATTTTGGATTATATTTCACTTCAAGATCTGCTTTATTTAAAAGTATATTTATATCGTCAGGGACGGTGCATTTGAACTGTATTTTCTCGTTAGGAACGGGTTATTTTGGATTATATTTCACTTCAAGATCTGCTTTATTTAAAAGTATATTTATATCGTCAGGGACGGTGCATTTGAAATGTATTTTCTCGTTAGGAACGGGTTATTTTGGATTATATTTCACTTCAAGATCTGCTTTATTTAAAAGTATATTTATATCGTTAGGGACAGTGCATTTGAACTGTATTTTCTCGTTAGGAACGGGTTATTTTGGATTATATTTCACTTCAAGATCTGCTTTATTTAAAAGTATATTTATATCGTCAGGGACGGTGCATTTGAACTGTATTTTCTCGTTAGGAACGGGTTATTTTGGATTATATTTCACTTCAAGATCTGCTTTATTTAAAAGTATATTTATATCGTCAGGGACGGTGCATTTGAACTGTATTTTCTCGTTAGGAACGGGTTATTTTGGATTATATTTCACTTCAAGATCTGCTTTATTTAAAAGTATATTTATATCGTCAGGGACGGTGCATTTGAACTGTATTTTCTCGTTAGGAACGGGTTATTTTGGATTATATTTCACTTCAAGATCTGCTTTATTTAAAAGTATATTTATATCGTCAGGGACGGTGCATTTGAACTGTATTTTCTCGTTAGGAACGGGTTATTTTGGACTATATTTCACTTTCAAGATCTGGTTTATATTCAAGTATATTTTATCGTCAGGGACGGTGCCTTGGAACTATATTTATTGTTAGAAACGGTTATATCTGACTATATTTACCCACGATCTGGTTATTGTAAAGTATATGGCTCATCAAAGACGTATATCTTCTCGTTAGGAACGAGTATTTGGATTAAATTTCACCTGAAGGTCTATATTTCACTTGAAGGATAATTTATATCGTCTGGGACAGTGTATTTGTATTATACAGGGTATTCTTGTTTGAACAGAATATTGGAGTGTATATATTGTCAAGGACGGTGAGTTTGGACTATATTTATTGTCAGGGACGGGGAAAAGAAGTTGTTAATTTTATTCAGGAACATATATTTTCTGGGTACATTTGTATTATAACTCATACTGGATGATCAACAGTAATGTCTGTGCGATCGTGGCCAACAGCACTTGATAGAGAACCAACTGAGGTTAACCCAGCCAGGTCCGAGCCTGGACAAGGATGCCTTGAAGGAACATGGAGAGGTGTTCGGTTAGAAAAAGAAGAAATGGAAAAGGAGAAAATAAATGCTTTGTTTAAGACTCGTATACATTTAATGAACACCCTCACAGAGACGAAAGGATGGATACAGGAGGCAATTTATGCTGGTGAACCAGTGGATAATATCAAGACAAAGAAAGAGCATTACGATGAATGTTGGAGAGAATTTGTCAGCAAACACGAACAATACATGTCGTGAGCAAAGAGGAAAAGGATATTGCAAGTCGAAGTTATAAAGAACTGATGACCAAAAAAATGCATTTGGATGAAATGGTGATGTCTTTACGAAGGAGACTAATGCTAGCGTCAAAACAAAAGGGAGAAGATGCTAGTTCATTCTCGGGAAAATCAAGACGAAGTTTGGCAAGTAAGTCAAGTCACAGTTCAAAATTTTCAACTGTGTCAAAAAGGAAAGAACAGTTAGCGCTCGCTCAGTTGAAGAGAAGCCAACTACTGAAACAGCACGAACTCGAACGAAGAATGACAGAGTTGAATTTCGAGAAAGAATATATGGAAGCCCGAATGGAAGAGGAACGAGCAATCGTAAGTTTGAATGTTTATGAGAATGAATCAGATAACAATTCTGAGCATGAAAATGTTAACAAAAACACACTCTCAATGAATCAACAAGGGCAAGGACTATCACCCCTTTCACAACCATATGTACCACAAGAGCAAATAGTACAAGGGACTAATATATCTTCACCCCAAGTTTCTAAGGTATATTCACCCGAAAGGCATGCTGAACAGTACAATGTGCCATTGCAACTGACACAGACATACCCTCAACAAGAACAACCGGTACAGTCAATTAATATCCCTTCACGACAAGTTTCTGAAACATATTCACCCAAAAGGCAAGTCGAGCAGTGTAATATGCCATTGCAACCCACCCAGACGTATATTCAGCACGAACAACCCCTACAGTCACCTAATATACCTTTATCGCAGATTCCTAGAACATATTTACCCGAAGGGAAAGTCCAACAACCCGCAGTTAAAGAGATAGATACAGGGGAAGAGATGGTGAGAGCACTGCGACAAGTCGTGTCTATGCCAAAAATTAAGTACATGCACTTTGATGGTGATGCAATAAATTATGCTTCTTTCATGCATAATTTTGAAACATGCCTAGAAAAGGACAACCCTGATAATTCCACTCGTTTGCAACTCTTGATTCAACACTGCAATAATAAAGCCCGTGACGCAATTGAAAGTTGTGTAAACTTACCAGCTGAAGAAGGATATACAACTGCAAAGAAAACGCTGTATGAGAACTTTGGAAAACCGCACATAATCGCACGAGCACATATTAATAAGTTGCAGAACTTACCACCATTGAAACAAGCCAATGGAGCAAGTTTGCTGGAGTTTTCCAGGCACTTAGAGGTTGCAGATAGAACGTTGACAAGTATGGGGCCTGAATATGAAAGTGAGTTGAATCACGTCAACACCTTGCGAGAGTTGACTCGGAAGCTACCATTATTCCTGCGAGTAAAATGGACAGAGCGTGCCGGTACGACAATTGAATCTGGCTCTAGACCCAAGTTTAAAGATTTCCTCCACTTCGTGAAGAAAAGAGCGACGCTTGTAAACAATGAGTTTGGGGAAGATCTGGATCGAGAGAACCCTCCCGAAGATCATCTTTATTTGCATCCGGCTTGGATAATCGACAGAGTCATAAGAACGAAAGTGGGAATTCGATACGATGCACGATGTGTTCTGGCAACCATAGAATTTGGATATGCGATAAGTTCAAGAAACTTTCCTATCAAGAGAAGAAGAAAGTTGTGCAACAACGAGAACTTTGTCTTAAGTGTCTGAGTGAAGGCCATTATGCGAGAAAATGTCCTAAAATTCATTTTAAATGTCTGGTAGAAGGATGCAGTAAAGGACATAACACATTGTTACACCCACCGCAACCTGAAGCTGTTAAGGAAGAAAAGGAAGACCAGAAACCTCCAGACCCAATTGAAACAACTGGCGGAACAGGAGAACAAGAAGTGAAAGTAACAGTCGCAACTGGGGCCGGCGAAAGAGTGTGCTTAAGTGTTGTTCCTCTTAAAGTACGAGCAAAGGGAAGTAATCAACCCGCCATTGGAGCTTATGCACTCTTAGACAGTGGATCTGAAGTTACGCTTTGCCATGAACGTTTGAAGAAACAACTTGCAGTAAGTGGAAGGAAGCTGGACTTCACATTGTCAGGCATGACCGGATCGACCAAAGTAAGAAGTGAATTGATAGACATTGAGGTGGCCTCACTGGATGGTGAGACACTGATCGAGTTGTCAAACGTAAGAACTGTCAATCAAATGCCGATCTCGGAAGCCTGCATTGCAAAGAAAGGAGACGTTCGAAGTTGGTCTCATTTACGTGATCTGCCATTACAAGAGTTGGAAACTAGAGATGTTATGTTGGTCATTGGACTTCAAGAGAACCCTTCCATGTTTTTGCCTTTGGAATATCGATCTGGAGAAGAAAGGGATCCCGTAGCAATCAGATACAGTTTGGGTTGGACTGTGATTGGGCCCGTTGGTGAAAAAAGGGATGGCATGTGTGCGACATCCAATTTTGCAAGAATGTCTGTCAACGCTGATGATCTTTCAACTGAAGATCGTACGTTTGAAAGTCTGAAGGAAGCGAGGGAGTTTCTCACAGAAGATCGTGCCATGGAAGAAAGTGAGCATGTAATGAAGGATAGAACTGGAGAAGTTAAAGAAGTCGAACGTGTTCAAGTTGATCGTGAAAACACGGATGAAGATCTAAAACACCAATTAGAAAGGCTGTGGAAAACAGACTTTGAAGGTTCTCTAGTCGAAACCAAAGTGTGCCCGTCGGTGGAAGATAAGAAAGCGCTACAAATAATGGAAAAAACACTGAAGATAGTGGACGGTCATTTTCAAGTTGCTCTGCCCTGGAAGAATAATCCACCATATTTGCCCAACAACAAGATTGTTGCAGAAAGACGGGGTTTGCTTCTGAAAAAACGCCTCCTCCGCGATGACGAACTGTTGAAAAAGTATCGGACAACGTTGAATGAGTACCTAGAAAAGGGTTACGCTGAGAAAATCCCTAAAGAGCAATTGAACATGGAGAACAGACCGATCTGGTATCTCCCGCACCACCCGGTTACGCATCCCCTAAAGCCCGAAAAGGTTCGAGTGGTATATGATTGTGCAGCAAGTTATGGACGAACGTCGTTGAATCAACAGCTCTTGCAAGGTCCAGATCAAACAAATCAACTGACTGGCGTGCTTATCCGATTCCGAGAAGAATCTGTTGCAATGGTTGCAGATGTAGAAGCAATGTTCCACCAGGTCTTGGTGGAACCCCGCGATTGTGATGCACTACGGTTCTTATGGTGGCCGAGCGATGATATTTCTGGCGAGATGGAGGAATATAGAATGACAAGACACCTATTCGGGGCTACGTCTTCGCGTAGTGTTGCTAATTTCTGCTTGCGTAAAACAGCAGAGTTATATCAAGCTGAATTTAACCCTGTGGCTATAGAGACGGTGAAACGTAATATGTATGTCGACGATTTGATGAAATCATCGAAGGAAACAAGCGAGGCGATAGGCTTAGTGAGTCAACTGCGCCATCTACTCGAAAAGGGTGGTTTTCGTCTCACAAAATGGTACAGTAATAGCAAAGAGGTGATGAAAACGATTGTAATAGTAACTGTTCATTTGTGATAGATTACATAATTAACTAGAAAATACATGCATGCAGAAACCCTCACCTTGCTGACAAAACCATTGTATTTTCCGAACATGAAGTATCTAAAGTAGTTGCCATAGTCACAAGAATAAGAAGGTATAGCCGAAGTGTAACTCGAGTCGGTTCCCTTATTGTTTTACGTCCACGAAAATTTTAACTCGCTCACGCCAAGCCACGCCATCCTGGCTAGTACAGCCGGACGTTTTTATCAGGATTTGGTAGGTACAAAGTGCCAGTTGTACTAGCCAGGATGGCGTGATTGATGACGAATTGCTTGTAAAAACGCGGACAAATACTTGCTTGAGTTACGCTTCTGCTATACCTTCCTTCCTATCTGATAATTTTTTATCCTTCCGTGAATACAGCAACTTTGGTATCCGTAAATTTACGCTTTCGAGGAGTAAGAAATTGATATGTTCATGATGACATAATATCATTTGTTGCGCTTTTCTGAAGAACTAACGATATAAACATGTTTAATATCCGAAACACACAACGAAAAGGAGATCGCTAAAAACGGTGTTATTATGCGGCTCAAGTCGTCGAAAGGCTATAACATGTCAAATACGTCTAGCATCGTCTAAATTGTTTCGCAAATTTCTTGCTAATTACGCCCTGCCACGAATTTCTAAAAGATGACCCTTCTAGAGTAATACTGATACTATCATATTTTACAGCATTTGAAACTTTAGGATGCATATCCACCATGAGCAACTCATGAAAACACCAGCATTCGTTACCGAGATGAGAAATCAACTTTCAAGAGATGTAAAATATTACACCTAAACAATATCTCGGGGGAAAACCGTATTAACTATAATGTCATGCATAGGTTTATATACGCTGTATTCTTTTTTCAACACATAAGCTAAAAACATCGTTTTTGCCCGTATAAGTTAATTAATAGGAAGGGTGTGTTTTAAGCGTTCCTTATTAACATAATCGCAAATTCAAACCTACGCATGCTTTAAAAATATTTTATCTTTGTGAAAAAGCGTCGTGTTTTCTCATGTATTGAAAAAATACAGCGCATACCTAAACAAGGAAAATTGCCTTGTTCCTATTCCTCGGCATCTTAAAGTCTTGCCATGTCCTCAATGCATTTGCATGCCGACGTTATAGTTATTAATACGGTTTTCCCCTGAGATTATCAAATGGCCGGCACGTGCCAGCTGATGACGTGTTTTATTGTTTACGTTTAATATTTCACATCTCTTGAAAGTTGATTTCTCATCTCGGTAACGAATGCTAGTGTTTTCATGAGTTGCTCATGGTGGACATGTATCCTAAAGTTTCAAATGCTGTAAAATATGATAGTATGAATATTAGTCTAGAAGGGTCATCTTTTAGAAATTCGTGGCAGGGCGAAATTAGCAAGAAATTTTGCGAAGCAATTTAGACGATGCTAGACGTATTTGACATGTTATGGCCTTTCGACGACTTGAGCCGCATAATAACACCATCTTTAGCGATCTCGTTTGCGTTGTGTGTTTCGGATATTAAACGTGTTTATATCGTTAGTTCTTCAGAAAAGCGCAACAAATGATATTATGTCATCAACATATCAATTTCTTACTCATCTAAAGCGTAAATTTACGGATACCAAAGTTGTTGTATTTATGGAAGGATAAATTTAACACAGCCGGGCCGTGCGCGAAATTAGACAGTTGAACTTTGCGCGAGTTATTTATCGCGGTTTCGCTGCGTGGAAATAAGTTAACCACATGAAATTACTTTTGAATACATTCTCCAGAATGGTCATCGATCAAATTTTTAAGTTTTTTATTATAAAGGTAACAAAATAAGGTTTTAAACGAGCTTTGCGATCTATCCGACCGCTGACCATTCCCTTTGTCAGAAAAAAACAGTGATCTTTCAGAAACTACCATGGAGCCGACTTTCACCGGTGTTTCCCAGAGGAGGTTGGACAGCAGGCCGCAAAGCATCATGGGAATTGAGCGCCTAATTCCACGCGTGGCTTTCATTGACTGTTGACTGTCGAGTGTCGAGGAGTGAACATCTCTCTGACTACAAAACCAATATGGAAGCTTTCGAACGACAAGAATGTCAGGCTGCGATATTTTGTGAAAACAGCATGTTATTGCTGTATTGTTGCGATCATCGACGTGTTGTCATTTTAGCTTTACAAATAATCCGTCTAAGAAAAGGAATTGTGTTTAATTTATATTCCCAATAGCGAGGCTCTTCTTTCTAAGTTGGATGGCGTTAAATCTCTGTGTATCATCAACGTGAAAACAAGCGCAGTATTTAAGGTTGGTATACTACAATGCATTACAGTTATCGTGTTATTTTATAGTCAAATTTCCGCTTTGTTGTTTTTATTCTTGTACTTTTAATATAAATACACTGTACAAAATTATGGCGTCATACTTGTGTTTACAATGCCTCTAGTTTGACCCTATTGTGTGTATATGTACTGTGTCACTGTGATACATATGTACATGTTTTGAGTTAAACGAATTGTTTAATACATTTTTGCTGAAGTATGATGCCTGTTTGTATGGATAGATTTTTACATATATGTGCATACAGTATAGTATATTTTTCAATTTTCATCTGTAAAATAATATTTGTGTTGTTCTAACATTATTGTAAATAGTGACACACTTTTGCATTAGATTGCTAATTTTAGAGATTACAGTGTATGTATAAAATAATAAAATAAAAATTTTCTTGTCATGATTTTGTAGAAAGAGATCTACTTGAGTGGTTCAGTGGTTGGCTGGTCTTGAACCTGGTCAGCATGGATATGGTAATGAAGGTGATAGGGCAGAAAGTGGTGACCAGTTAAGTGATCAGGATGAAAGTGACGAGGACGAAATCACCCATGCTGTGCCATTCAAGTGCATTGGTGCTGTTCATGAGAAACATTACCAAGATCATTTGTAACAGGCATGCCTTGCAATTCATGTAAGAATACGTCCAAAGCCATTGAATCCAATGGACCCAAGTGCAATAGCAATTGATGTAGACTATGGAACTGGATGGACACATGTGATGTTGGCTATATTATTTGCACCCACTAATTGCTGCATGAGATATCGTAGAGGACTATGTTCAGCATATAAAGTATAGGGTTGACTTTTTTAAAATAGGGTTTTATCCAAAATTTTTCATTAAGGGATGTGGTGAGTGGGTGACTCAAGTGGTAAGGAGGGGCATGAGTGTATGTCGACAGATGTTTGTGATATAATAGTAACTGACTAGGTTTAGCAAGTTATAGAAATGATGTTATTTAAATTGGCTAACTTTTTAGATTTTTTCAGCATTTTTACCTTTCACTTTATTGCCAAACAAAAATGAAAAATCATTTAATTTAAGTAGGTGTGTATCTATAAGAAATGTCATGTGCACTTGTGCAACTCCCTCAAAATAGCAATATTGCTTTTTTATTGTGTAGGACACCAATATGGTTCTCATTACCTATATCTAAACTTAAAAAAAACATGTGCTATAAATAAATGCATCTACCTATTTCGTGACTGAATAGAATTTATTTTGTCAAGCCATGTAATTAATTTTGAAATTGCTGTGACTTTATGTAACCCTTCTGCAGGAATTGAGCCTAAACCCTAAAGCACCAACCCCTAAATTACCAACCCATCCCCAACAATAAAATTACATCTTACTGTCAATTTGTCTTTGAAATCTGACCACCAATGTTTATTTGTAAGTTCGGAATGTATGTTGTAAAGTTCGACTGCATGCAGTTCGTTTTAAAGTAGGTTCTGTGAAAGTCGGACTGAGTTGAATTTAAATGGTTCTTATTCTTAGTCAAAATATGGGTCTCTATTTACTTGTTTCTATATACACCTGTTGACTCTGGATGGTCTTCAGAAGTATCAAATAATGTACCTGCATTATAAATGCTTCCTCCTTTAACTTAATAATAGTGTTCATGTATACTAAAAAACCAAACATGGTGAATTATACTACAGGTATATACAGTAACTGTACCAGCCAGGGTGTTAAAACTGGCTCGTCCAAAAAATACTGTGGGTGATGTGTGGCAACTTACATGGTGCTTGAAATGAATTGTCACATGCTGACAATCCAGCATCTTTTCAACAAAAATTATCGAAACATATGAAGTAGATAATGTAAACAGCAGCTGACAACTTTTGAGGTATTCAAGAAATATCACAAAGCTTGAAAGTTGCTGTTTAATAAAGAAAACAATTTCTTAGGTCATCCATGGCCATCTAGTTAAAAAGTGGCTGACGTCTAATTTCAAGAGTGGCTGGTGCAAAATGTACACTATTATAACAAACATAATTTAATTATTAATGTCAATAAATTTGAACAAATATGCTCAAGCATTAATTAAATATGATACAGTACATGTATGCAGGGATGGATCCAGCATGATCTGGTAGGGGGCGGGGGGTGCTCTTGTGCCGACTGCCGAATTGTGTCGGTCATGTGTGCCGCCCACCCATCCACTGCTGTATTTGAATTTGAATTGTTGTTCACAGTTCACTTATCATCATGTTATTACTCAAATTATTGTATCTCATTTTGTCTTTTTTGCTTTATCGAAAAATAGCACCCCCATGCACCCCCTCTGGCCAGGGCTAGGGGGGTGCACACCCTGCACACCCCCTCCCCCCCCAGTAAATCCATCCCTGCATGTATGTGCACTTTCTATATTGTGCTCAGGTATTTGGTGGAGCATGTTGTTGGCCACGTTGAGGGATCACAGCTCAATTTGTATTCACCAATAACTTTCAGAAAGACATCATAACTAGGACAAGAGATACTATAATCTATACTAGTAATCCATGCTAAAATGTCTTCATTCTTCTTCAACATCATCAGTTGGCCCTGCCCTTGGATGTAATTAAAAAGGAACATAGAATTTTTCACTGAGAGAAAATCTGATCACTTTATAATGTGCTGTTCTTTTAAAATCGTCTCTAGCCCAGATATAAAATCTGTAAAAACAGACAAATAACTCGTCTTAATAACTCAATTAAATAGTCTTTCAAAAGTAATTTAATATTTACTGTAAAGAAAAGTGATCCTAATATTGGGGGACTTTCAAAATTCATTGTGAAAAGTGAAAACCAAGCTTTGGTGGCGCAATATCTTCCCCAGATATTAGACGCCATTTTGGCAAAGGTTGAATTGAGTATGGTCAATTCAATATGGCGTCATTTCACCGCCAATATTCATGTATATCATGCTTTCGACATTGAAGTTAAATAGGACATTCAGCAACTACGTGCTTTCGACATTGAAGATAAATCTGACATTGAACATGCAGAACATTCAACATATTTTCGACATTGAAGTTAAATAGGACATTCAACACCTACGTGCTTTCGACATTGAAGTTAAATCTGGCATTGAATATGCAAAACATTCAACATATTTTCGACATTGAAGTTAAATATGACATTGAACACCCATGTGTTTTTGACATTGAAGTTAAACCGGACATTGAACATGCCGCGAATTTAGCACCCATCACAACTTCAACGTTCAAAATATGTTGAAAAAAATTACCACATGTTGAATATTGGCGGAGTTGAACGATAGCGTCAAATCTCCGCCAATATTAATTAAGCTAACACAAGATAACCCCCCGGCCAAATTCATTCGTGTCCAGACCTCTAGAACATATCACATGACGCAAGCCGAGGATCGAATTCGCCGCATCTTGTCGCTGTATTGAAGGCCGTATATTCACCATAATAATATATTCGCGTATGTTCGCTTGATTGTCTTAAATTAATTGACTTTTATAGCGCAGATTGAATTGCTAGAGACGCAAAAAAACGCAAAATCTGGTAGAATGAACCCAGAGGCAATAATTTCCGCAAGGACCGCAAGAGATGCAGGCAGATGCTCTGTTTGAAGTTGCTGAGCGATTGAGACAACAGTCAACAGTATTATTTTATTTATTAGATTATATTTTAAAAATTTCTAATAATCGCATTATAAATAATCGATACATTTTAATATTTAGAGTGTACTGGCAAAAACAATGCGTGCGTCAACGTGAACTTTTGTTGCGACAGAAAGGCAGATGGTTTTCTTTATATATTAAATCGTTGTGGTGTAATGTGATAGTATAGTACTTGTCAATTTAGCATAATTTTGAGCACTTTTCTTTCCGGATCCGTGAGCCTTTTATAACTTTATTTGTCATTTACTTATACAACTGTTTACAAAAAATCCTACTGTTTACAAACTTTTGTGTTACATACTTAATTAATAGGTGTCTTCTTATTAATTCAATAACTGTTACACAATAGAGATTTTTGCTGCCAATTGCACTAGCTAGAATTAGCATTTTAATAATAGTACATCCTTTTAATTTTTAAACTAGGAGAATAGTTTCGTGGAGAATAGTTTCGTGGATTTATCTTATACCATAAACTTCCGATTATAAGTCCCCGAATATAAGCCCGACGTCTATGACCCCGTCACATTACTAACGTTCACACCATTCGATATACTAGCCTGTAATCATAATCAGTAGTTTATGGTATAAGAAAAATAAATTTTCTCACGAAACTATTATGTGCTATTATTAAAACGCTAATTCTAGTGCAATTGACAGCAAAACTCTTTATTGTGTAACAGTTATTGAATTAGTAAGAAGACACCTATTAAGTGTGTAACACAAAAGTTTTGTAAACAGGTAGGATTTTTTTGAATTGTTGTATAAGTAAATGACAAATAAAATTATTCCTTTAATAGGATCACGAACGGATCTAGCCTACGGTGTAGACCCCAGCAGAAACACGTTTCGTGAGGGGTCTACGAATAAACGAAGCAAAGCTTGCCCGGGTACGTCATATCCGATTTACGTTTTGGGTAAATTAACTTTAATTTATTCAAAGCGTGCTCGAATTATTTAAAGATGGCGGAATGTAGTACAAAGTATGATAGAGTGTTGTTTGATGAATGTAAATTTCAAGAAGCACTGGCCACTGCTTGCATGCTTTTACAAGTGGAAAAATTTTACGAAGATCAAGAAAATGCATTGAAAATAACCGATTTTTTCATGAAAACAAAAAAATGTTGCATTTTAATAAATGGATTGTAACAATAAGTATAATTACGGCTTTTCTTCCACTATTTTTAACACAGTTTGAAACTTCAAATGCGATATAATTTTGGCTTGGACCATCTAAGCTGACTGACATCAGCTTGCTATAATTTCTGTTTACATTACATCGCAATTCGATGACACTCTGGCTCAGACACCAGAATGTTTTGATTCTATGATTTTTAGCATTCGTTTAGGATTTTCAAACAACCTGGTCTGTTTTAAAATACTTTTAATTTGTTCTTACGTGGTTTTCCAGATGTAGTGACGACAACATTAAAGTTTAAAGAAGAAAATTCTAACATTTAAACCGTCTAAACAATAACATAGTAAACTTGCATAATTAAACAGCAACTAAAAATGATAGGTTTTACTAAATCTTTTCCTGTGCAATTATTACTAGCATTGGAGACAAGGATAATAGTTTGTTTGAAAGAGAAAAGAACAGGCTTTGAAGTAAGCCTAAAAGCGTTTAACTAGAAATAGTATTTCGAAAGTTATTAAGCACAAAAGATGAATTGCGTTTATTTTGATACACCCTGTATAGTTTACACTTCTCCGGAAGCATTTCTTGCTACGAAAAGATGGAGATCGCTTGCCAGCTCAAGCAGCTTTCGAGAGGATTGTGTTGCAATCGCTATTGATGAGGCACACTGTTTGGTTCACTGGTAAGTATTTATAATATACCCAAACCCAACGAAATAACTGAATGTTTATTTGTTTTTTATTCAGTTTATTCAAAGTCAGTCAGAGGTTTATTTGTTATTTCAATGTTACATGTCATAACTCTATATTATTTTTGTCACTATTAGGGGAAAGTCAACATCTGTGAAGGATACTCCATTCAGAATATGGTATTCAAAGTTGGTGGAAATGAAATCCTTGTTACCCAACACAAGGTATGCTATATTTACAGCCACAGCAACAAAAAGCACTAAGAGGACAATATTTGATATGCTGGATTTATCCTTGTATGACACGTTCTGCACAGAAAAAAACCAACAAGAGGTAACAGTGGTTATCATTTTATTTATGTGGAAAAAAACCTCCCTCTTGATACAGTATTTGATGAAATAATTAATGAGCTCAAAGAAGAAAAGCAGCAAGCAAAAAGAACTATCATTTTTTGCCAAACCAGAAAACAATGTTCCTTACTTTACAGGATGTCTGTTGTAGCTTTGGGTAATGATTTATTTGCCTCTGAAGGACATGAACCTAATACACGTCTGGTTGAAATGTACCATGCTGGCACCCCAGAGTCTGTAAAGACTCATGTAATTAATGAAATAGGTAGATTTGGTAGCCACTTGAGGCTCATCATATGTACCATAGCATTTGGAATGGGAATAAATTGTAAGGATGTATATCGCAGCATTCATTTTGGTCCACCAAAAACTGTTGAACAGCTTGTCCAAGAATGTGGTAGAATCGGGAGGGTGGAAAGCAATGTATTTGTTATATTCTGTACAATGGATTTCTTACTAGTCACTGCAATGAACACATGAAGAAATTAATTCATTCTAAAAGTTGTCGCAGACAGTCCATTTCTAAGTTATTCACTGCTTCAAGCCAAGAATTGTTCAGCGAAAGCTGTCACTGTTGTGACATCTGTGCCCAAGTTTGTGAATGTGCCACACCAATTGATGTAGTCGACTTTGGCAAAAAGGACAAGGAAAAAACAAGTATAGATGCATCAAGAAAACGGAAAGTTACTAATGCTGAAAGACAGATTTTACAAGAGAAGCTTGTCAGATACAGCAAATCATTGCTTCCAAAGAATGTCAATGAATTTATCCCTGTTGGTACACCTAATGTACTGTTTGAATTTGGTTTCTACCAAATTGAACAAATCATGAATAGCTGTCATGAATTATTCACTATGGAAGACATATTATTAAAAATAGAACTATGGAGACATGTACATGCAAATAATGTCTATATGATGCTTTCTGAAACATTTAAAGATATGAGAGTATTAGGTGATATTCAATTATCAGAAGAGGAATTTAGGGATATGGAAATTGTTTTAGAAGATTGGGAAGATATTAGGGATGATTCATCTCTACACAATTCCACTATGGATATTTCGGCTAATTCTAACATGGACACCTCTTTTGAAAACAGTTTTATAGAGCGTGAAACAGTTGATAACAATATCAGTGAAATATTTCAATCAATGGCCAACACAATTGACATGGACATCAGCAATGGTTAAATTCAAGATTAAATTAACAATCAGCATTTGTGTATGTGTGAAATATATCAGTATATTCAGTGACAAACACTAGGGCAGGGATTGGTAAGATGTTAATTAAGCAAATGTGCATGTAATTTTGGCCAAAAGAAATATATTTTTGGAACAAAGAACCATTGATAATATTTACAGTATATTTAAATCAAATTTCACAGTATATTTCATTTAAATTTTACATTCCTATTAAAACATACCATAAACCTCTGAATATAAGCTCACCACATCCTCATTCCAAATATAGCCCCCCCCCCATCCGAATATAAGCCCCCTTCCCAAATATCATTCCCCCAAATATAAGCCCAGTAGCCCACTACGTTATTCAACATTGACATTGTCTTTTAATATAGCAGGATCGATATTTAAAAAAACATTGTCATTGTCTTTATAGCTTACTTTGTTAATCAAAGCGTGTTATTAAATAATACATGTTTATTTTCCTGTTTATGACTGACTTGTTTATAAATTATTACTAACACAAAAGATCGTCCATGTACAAGCCCCCCGTATATAAGCCCCCCCCACGTATATAAGCAACCCCCTCCCCCGTTGTATAAGCCCATAAAAAATCACTTACGAAATAATATAAGCCCAGGGCATACAGTCGGAGGTTTACGGTATATAGTACTGTAAGTTTTAATGTTGTTCGTATAGAAAATTGTTCAACTTTTAACGGGAGCATTTGCTCAAAAAACGTTTTTCTTGTGTTCATTAATCCACTTGAACATTGCAGAAACATTAAAATTTGCTAATAAACTGGATTCAATCCCAGAAAAGTGTTTGTAAGTCCTACCATTGGTGAACACGAATGCTTCATTATCAACGAGCCCTTTGACAACTTTGATCAGATCATTTCTTGATGATTGCTGCACATGCTTGCCTGATCTCCTCACAACATTACACATCTCGTCAAAGTTGTCCAGCAACTGCTTGTTTGTGGCTAACGCTTTACAATGACGATCTAGGGCATTTTTGTTGAGACCGTTCGCACCCAGGCTTCGCATAAAAATCTTGATCAACTTGTTGAATTGCTCCAATGCTAAGTCAAGAGGGATGTTGCCTCCACTACCACATTTAGACTTAAAAAATCTGTTCCAGACCAGTCTATGGGCAGCGCGCGGACTCAATAGTGCGTTTACTTGACATTGCAAGTAAAGAGCTTCTAGAGCATACTTTCTGCTGCTTGCACCGTCTTCCTTCAAGTACCGTAGCATAAACTTCCAGCAACGCACAACATGTGAACCATCACCTTCCGAAACCGCATCATAAAAATTCTTGACTAGAAGACCAATTTCAAGAAACGACGACTGATAATTGAACATGTCGTCTCTTTTCGGTTTTCCTTTGAAAACGTATGTTATGACGGATTCAGGTACTCGTAAGCCATGCGGTTCTTCGTGCTCTCTTTTTCTTTTACCGTCAAATCGATATGTCTTCTCACAGCCTTCAAATCTACATCTGAATCGTTGACCTTCACTTGCATTCCTCTTTTCTTTCTCTTGTTTTTCAGCCATTTGCACTTTATCTAAGAGAGCAACAACTTTTTCTTCGTCTAAGATGTATTTATCGACCACCTTTGTGGCAAGCGATTTCAAAAACTGCTGTTTTTCCTTTCTTGATGCACTCAGTAACCTGGTTGGAAGAACATCTGAGCTTGGATGTCCATCAACTTCTGTGAGCTTTAACTCGGTCATACAAGCAGCCACAATTCTAGCATCAACCTCCAGCATGACAAATTTCTTGGTAGCATTAACATTTTTGCTTACATCTGTTGATACGTTTCTCCTATTTATCACGTTTCTATCATAATATAGTGTACACTGATTATGCATTTGGAGCAGTCGGGTGGAAGAAACGATTGAAGATTACCTACAGAAACGAAACATTTTTTAATTAGTTTTTAATAATTTCATCGCGGTTTTGAGTAAGGCTTAGAACATGGTTAGACAAACAGCCGAAAAGTCACATTATTTATTTAGAGGCACTTAATATCCCAAAAAGCAAATTACAATGGTTGGATAAGGAAGTATGATTTAATGATTCCTTAATATTCCCCCATAACGTGTGTGTGAAAAAACGAAAATGCTCCTCGATTTCTAAAGCAAGTGTTCCTCATGATTCAGGACACTGTGAAAACATTTTTTCCATAACTTTTTTACAGTCGTGCCAATGGAAGCGTTCCGAAAAATGTTGACCAATTCATTTCCTAACTTGAAGAAACACAATTCCTCAACAATTCGATAAGTTCCCTAAAAAGTTCCTAACTTCCTGTTTTGTTGACCAACCAGATTGCCCAAAAATAAAATATAAAATTTGATTGGTCAATGAAACGTGTTTCTTCTTTCTTTTCCCCTCACGAAACGTGTTTCTGCTGGGGTCTACACCGTAGGCTAGAACGGATCCGGAACTTAGAAAAGTGCGCAAAATTATGCTAAATTGACAAGTACTATCAAATTACACCACATGGCCTCACGATTTAATATATAAAGAAAACCATCTGCCTTTCTGCCGCAGCAAAAGTTCAGTTTGACGCACGCATTGTTTTTGCAATTACACTCTAAATAAAATGTATCGATTATTTATAATGCGATTATTAGGAATTTTTAAAATATAATTTTTGCGTCTCTAGCAATTTAATCTGCGCTATAAAAGTCAATTAATTTAAGACAAACAAGCGAATATACGCGAATATTATGGTGAATATACGGCCTTCAATACAGCGACAAGATGCGGCGAATTCGATCCTCGGCTTGCGTCATGTGATATGTTCTAGAGGTCTGGACACGAATGAATTTGGCCGGGGGGGTTATCTTGTGTTAGCTTAATTAATATTGGCGGAGATTTGACGCTATCGTTCAACTCCGCCAATATTCAACATGTGGTAATTTTTTTCAACATATTTTGAACGTTGAAGTTGTGATGGGTGCTAAATTCGCGGCATGTTCAATGTCCGGTTTAACTTCAATGTCAAAAACACATGGGTGTTCAATGTCATATTTAACTTCAATGTCGAAAATATGTTGAATGTTTTGCATATTCAATGCCAGATTTATCTTCAATGTCGAAAGCACGTAGGTGTTGAATGTCCTATTTAACTTCAATGTCGAAAATATGTTGAATGTTCTGCATGTTCAATGTCAGATTTATCTTCAATGTCGAAAGCACGTAGGTGCTGAATGTCCTATTTAACTTCAATGTCGAAAGCATGATATACATGAATATTGGCGGTGATATGACGCCATAATTCAATGCCAAATATCTCGAAAACTGCCGGGGGATCCCGGGGATCCCTCCAGCAGATTTTTAGTTTAGACATTTGTCTTGACTTTTTTGCAAAAATTACAAAAATCGAACCATGGGAATTCCAGATTTTTTAGTTTGAAAATTGTAAACAGACTCTGACTTGAGTCATCACGTTGCCACGGCATGACCAACTTTAATAATCGAAAACAGGTTAAAAAATAACGTTTACCTCAGAAATTCTTGCACATATCGCCAGTCCTTTTATAATACTAAGGCCATGGTTGCATTTTGATAGAAAAATTTGAGTATTTATATATATTTTTTGAGTTCTTCTGTGTCCAATGCAAATTTGACGGCCAAAAATCTTCGCAAACACGATGGGAAAATAGCGCGATTTCATTGGTCGAGATTTTCACGTGACAGCTGTCCAACCTCCTCTGGTTGTTTCCCAGAGCCTCAGCAAGCCTCCACAGAGGATTGCGGGCTCTGGTTTCGAGATTGGGCCAATATGAGTGAATACGATATATTTTGCTGAATTTGGCCTGAAAATTTGCTTACTTTGACGCCTGCAGAACACATGCGCAGAACAGACTTTACATGGTCTTTAACAATAGACGAATGTCCTACGTACAGTATGTAATAATATGAAACCGTCTACACAATTTATACAATGGTTCCACTAAAATTGGTAAATAAATGATTGTCAACTATTCCACAGTCTTGGTGTGCTGAGTGGTTATAATGTTATATAGTAATACTACCTGAAAAAAACAAGCAGAAACTCAACATTGGCTACTAACTCTTGACGAACGGCCTTCGCTAGAAATGTCAAATTTCTGCTTGTTTTTTTCAGGTAGTACTATATATAAATTTCAGATGTTCATTCTTGTAATGGCCTAGCCTGCGTAGCAGGCGGTATTCGCTGGCACGAGAGAATGGGAAGCTAGAAATACCGCCTGCCCAAAAACTACACATTCTGAGTTCTCCCCGGCAGCTGGGTGCCGGAGCATTCTGATTGGTCAGAATGTTGATTTTCAATTTTTGATTGACAGGAGTAAAGAATTAGAATAATTAGTGCTAATTTTAGAAGTTACTGTTGCCGTATTTATAATATAAACTATTGTTATTTTCGTAATTGATACCGATATATCGAGTGATGGCATACTTAACCAAAAAATAACTAATGTATTAATTGAGAATTAAGCGTTGAATTCTTTAATCTTTATCTGGAATCGGAAATCGCTTCGTCTTGAAGAATGAACAACGAATATCAATCCAACATTTGTTGCTTGATAGATGTGATACCGTGATAAAAGTGCAGATTTGAAGATACAGGCTCGTAAATGACACTCTAAGTAGTGTTTTTGATAGCGATTGGAACAAGACTATTACAAAGTTACGTCCGAAGTGGCCGAAGTTATGTTCGGCGAAAGGTATGGCTAGTCTATATTTTTGTATAGAAAATTGCGTAATTTGATAATACAGTACACGAACTCGCTTGACTTTCAAAGCTCATAAATCGCTATAATGTTGACATCGACTAAAACTATCGCTATGAATGAGGACATATTGTTACACTGAATCGAACGTGGTATTTTTGTCTTCATAGCATTGAATGAACCGAAGATATGAAACGTCAAAGCCGTATATTTGCACTGGTGCAAATATGTGAGTTTGACAAATAATTAAAATAAATACATTAAGATGGGCGGGACCATGCGGTGAGCGGAACTCAGAATGTGTAGTTTTTGGGCAGGCGGTATTTCTAGCTTCTATCGCCTGCTACGCAGGCTAGTAATGGCCAACTGAGTGTGCAAAAAGTAACAATTGTATTTGAAGTCAAATGCTCAACAAAAACAACTTTACTTTTTCAGAATAAGCCTACTAAAACCAAAATTTAGGTTTATTAGTAAACTATCATAATAACTTCATACATCTTTAACAATTTCAGGACTGCCGAAAGTAGGGATGCAGGCAAAAGCCCAGCTCAAAAGGGGCCTTCAAAGCACAAAAAGTTGTGTCAGTGCCAGATAATATACAGTAAAGTGTAATATATTGTAAAACACCTTCTCCCATTTAATAATTATGATGTCATAGGGACCCCTGGGAAAACTTAATGATGTCATATGCTTTCCCTGGAAAAGTTTTACTCTGGGCCCTGCACAACCTCCCAGTGGTGCCATAATGAATTGCAAGTTCTAAAAAACCTTTATTGATTTCAATAATGTGTTATTCTACACATCAACCTAACAAGCAATACAAGCATGAAAGTATAAATGATATTAAATTTATTCAAGCAGGACATTGTTATTAGTCAGGCCAGGTGTGATTCTTGATTCTTTAACCTAACTACTTTTTATCACATAACTAATGAGCGATGCCACTAGCACTTTTCCAACAATACCATTCCTTTCTTGAGTATTTCATTATATTAGACTCTTCATTATAATGCAACATGCCAAGCTGTTTACTGTTCCAGAATACAGAACTGTATAATTTTGACTTGAAACTGATTTCCATTGTTTCCAGATGTACTGGCATTAATTGGCATAATAAAAAGATCGTATGCACAGCCCCAGGTGTATACGTATCTGAAAGAAATGTAATACTAAAGTTATAAAATAGTCAACCATTTAATAAACACACACAGGTATACTGCTACATGCTTTTGCTCAATTGCTACAGCAGTACCCTTCTTCATTGAGAAAAATATCTTCATTTCATAATTGTATGAAGAATAATATTTGGTTTTAAATTCCCTAGGTATATAGATTCATAATAATGCATGTATAATAGTAGGTAATAATTTATATTGGGTATGATCAGCTCACAGGATGCTATAGAGTTTCTGAAAATCTGTTGCATTTTTAGGGGGTACACAATTATCTTTTGTGGTATTCTAACTAGACTACAATTTGGATGGAAATTCAGAGCCCAAGGTTAAAAATTAACCTTGAAACAAAATAATGACATGATTCACATGAACAATATAAATTGTAACAAACGTTCTTGCTCATGAATAGCCTATTTAATAAAGCTGAGAGTTATTAAATTACTTTTATATAACAAATAATTAAACGTACTTGTTATATAGCTAGCGTGAACACCAAACGTGATTGGCTGATTTGTGGTCACGTGACTTCAGATAAATGCAATGTTTCCCGCCGGGCAAAGTGAAAAATTGTTGCCCGCCCCGACTGGCCACGTACATAAATAAACAAAATGGAGGCACAACTCAGATAATTAGAAACTACGATTTTCCAAGTTTGTGTTCAAATAAAGAATATAAAAGAGAAGAAAAATACACAACAGGCAACAAGATATGCTGCTGAAACCGTTTAAGTAGGTTCTTTTAATTTTAACTCGTTTACACTATAGAGTTTTTGTCACGAAATACAATTGTTGTATGAATGTTGTTGAAGTTGATTTTTGTTCGTCGCTATATAACAAAACACTTAATGCCTGTTCCCTCGGGAAATAGTTAGTTTTGTTTTCCCTCGAATCTTAAAGGTGCCCTACAGTCTGTATGTAAATAAAGCCTTTGTTTACATTTTTGTGTCCAAAATATTGAGCTTTATTCGACAACTATTTATATTTTCAAGCTTCTAGAGTATAATAAATTATCAAGAAACAACAATCAGGCTTTGCAAGAACCCAAAACATAGTTAAACTGTTTGTATCATGAAAAGTGGGCTCCTTTGTGCACATGCGCAGATCGGACTGTAGGGCACCTTTAAAGTTTTCCCCGACTTCGTCTCGGGAAACATTGAGATTCTCGGGAAAACAAAACTAAGTATTCCCCTCGGGAGCAGACATTAAGTGTATATTATACCTTAAGAAGAAATCAGAACATTTTGAAGGAAATAGAAGCCATTTGAGACAAAATATTTGATCACTCGTGCACTCAGTATCCTTGTTGTTCACACTAACTGCGCCGAACATATTTTAATGCTTTTGACGGGAAAAAGTGCGATTTTATTGATATTTTCAGCAAAAAGTTAGCTCTCCACTCCTCTTGAAAATACTATGGCGCGCGCGAATTCCCGGAGAATGAGTACGAAATAGTTAATTGGAAAATACTGTACTTTTACCGTATTTTCTAATTAACTCAACTCGTGTGGCCAGAGCCACTCAACGATGGCTCTGGGTACGAGATTGTGTCTGAGCTAGGAACGAAAATATGGGCGCTTTCCATTAACAAGCCAGACTGGTCAGAACGGTCAAACTGTTGAATTGAACACAAAACATTTGGGCTTCGGACCTATCTGACCGAAAAATTTAGATAACATTAGAATGAGGTCCATTTTCCCTAGATATTTGAGAAACATAGAGAAGAATTCAGAGAAAGAGATTAAGAATCAGAGAAGAATTAACAGAGAAAAGAATTCGGGCCTGACCGGTCAGGCTATTAAATCGAAAGCGCCCTATGAATCAGATCAGTTCTCTTTTCGAATGTTTATTGAGTATACTTTTAAGGCGTGAATTAAAGAACCGTTCAAGCGTTTAGCGTGTTAATAGACGTAGTCAGTCATGATCTAGATTTATCGACTTTTGTCAGGGGCCAGTTGAACGAAGGCTGCATTAACGCCATTCACTGAATTGTGAATGGCGATCTTTTTCAATATTTCTAAAAAATGCTTGAATAGTTTGGTAGCCATGGGTATGGACCTACAATTACTAAAATTGCTTTAATTTGTAAATACTAAAGTTTAATCTACATGGTGTCTAAAAAAAGCCGGGGACTTTAGAAATTTACCTTATAATTGTTACAGTGAATTTTGCCGAGTTAACAGAGGCAATTTTGCCTAGTCACCACAGCCACTAATCAATATTTCTTTTCCCAAAATTGTTGGCGAGCGTGGTGGTGGTGGTGGTGGTGGTGGTGGAGTTATTTTGTGTTTAACTACAGTTAATGTTCCAATTTTCCCTAATGTTTTCGTAAATTTCTCCACATTTCTTAATCGCCGACTGGGTAGTACCAAAATGTGAAATTGCTGTGCTGAGTGGTTATATTACTACCTGAAATAAACAAGCAGAAACTCGACGCTTCGAGCGAAGGCCCTTCGTCAAGAGTTAGTAGCAGGGATCGGAAAAATGCACCGGCTTTTATACTAAGAGTATGAAAGCATCACGTGACAAAAAATAAACCAATTAGATGGATTTAATCATAACAAAGTGTAAACAAAATATGTAAATCGCATTACAGAATATAATACAATACAAAAAATATAAAAATATACAGGAAGCTATGAAGACCTGTACGTAAAGACAATTACTACAAAAAGTAATCAAAACAAAACAAAACACGTGGGAATAAGGTAAGTAATAAATAGATAAATGCTGTCAATGTCTGCTATAGACAGGCAAGGACAGATGGAATTAATAAACATAGGAAAAGCGTTCATTAATACCAGAGGGGTGAACAGTGCCAAGTTTGGATATGAGGCGCATTTCATGTCGTTTGCGGCTATCGTACGTTTCTTCCAGAAATGGGACAGAGGGCTTGAATTACCATATCTGAAACACTGTGACTGCCATTATTAAAATGTCTGGCAACAGGTTGGTTAGCATTGCCAATAACTGTACGCCAATGCTCACCAAACCTTTAATTGTCCTTAATTAAACATCTTCCAGTTTCCCAATGTAAAGCATGCCACATCTGATGCAAGAGATGCAGTAGATGAGATGGGAGGAGGCGCACATGAAATAGTCATGCTTGATGTGATATTCAGATTTAGGTGCCGAAACAATAGTGGTAGAATCTTCAAAATCACAGGTTTTACAATTCGACGACAGGCAAGGGAAAGTGCCTTTCTGTGAGGCAGGAGCCTGTGCTAGGTAGCTATGGACTAGGGTTTCACGGATATTTTTGCTGTGTTGAAAAGAAAATCGGAGAAAATGGAAGAATTGTTTCAGGGTCGTTTTTCAAAATATGGAAATTCTTGTTGATGACATCTCTGACTTTGAAATTGAAAGGATGATAATTTAATACTAGGTGTTGCGCTTTGCATATGCATGCTGTATTAATCTAAATGTCTTTACATTCAGGTACTATGAATATATGATTACATGTTTACGTGTTAGCAATACGTTACTGAATAATTAACAATTATAATTACACATTAAGTTATTACATCTCCTCCCCTATCAGTTAATAAGTTCTAACTCTAAAGTGTCCGTTTATTTTTTTATAATGTTTTTAACTTATCTAACAATATCTTGTTGTTCGCATAGTGTTTCTGATATAGCACTTAATATTAAATCTCTATTTTATTCAACTAATTAATTACTTATCTATAATCCTTTAAATGTGTCTCGAATTTGATGTCTTCGTCCTTCTAGATCTTCGCAGTTCTCGTGGCTCTTCCTGTCTGATGGTTTCTGGTTGGCTATGAGTTTCTAATTCAACATTCAAGGGTTCTGGATGGGTTGTAGTTGCGGTTATTTCGGTTGCTGGTGGAATTTGGGTTGCTGGTCTTCGTTGCTGTTCTTCTGGGTGATGCTTATTCATTCTTAGCAGCTTGAATCGTGATCTATCTCTACATTTCGTCTTCTCATCCTTCATCCTTCTCGCTGTTACCATCGAGCCTTTGATTTTGGTTATAACATAAGTGTACGGTTCGTATGGAGTTTCTCCTTTATTCTTCTTTTCTCGTTTAACGATCACTGCGTCTCCGGTCTTCAATTCGTATTCCTTCGATCGATGCCGTTTATCATGATTTCTCTTTGCTTCCTCTTTGTATTGCTGATCGTTACGTCTCACGGCGTCATCCTTTGGTGATGTTTCCGTGGGAAAATGGTCCAATTTCGTTCTAACTTGTCGGTTCATTAACAGCTCGTATGGTGTGGTTTTGGTTGCGGTGTGTGGTGTGCTTCGGTAGGCTGGAAGCATATCATATGTTGCTTCGTGGAAGTTGGTGTGATCTTGTTTTGAAATTGCGGCGACCTTGTTAATTAATTTGTTGAAGTTTTCCACCTGCCCTTGTGCTTTTGGATGGTACGGCGTGACATCAGCAAGTTGCTTGAATTCACGTGAATTAAATGGTGGTGCATTGTCCGTTTGAACAACTTTTGGGACTCCGTGCGTTGCGAATACTTTCTTCAACTTCTCTCTCACCGGTGCAATTGCTATCGAGCGGGTGAATTCGACTTCTGGGTAGCGAGAAAATTGATCTGTAAGTACCATGGCATATTCTCCATTAGGAAACGGTCCGCAAAAGTCAAGTTCAACAACTTCCCATGGTTGTTGCGGGATCTTTGTCATTTTCGCCGGTTCAGTGTGGAACGTATTTGTTGCTATCTGACAGCTAAAGCAGGCTTGTACAATATTCTCGATCTGAATATTCATCGAGGGAAACCAATACTTGTTTCGGATCATTTCCTTCGTCTTGCTGCTGCCAAGATGGCCTTGCTTGTGCCCAACACTGATTATTTTCTTCCGCAGCGCGATGGGAGGAATGATCCTCTCACCTCGAAGTACTACTCCGTCTGCTTCATATATCTCCGTTCTCATATCGTAATATTGTTTCAAGTCCATGGCTGTGTTTTCCCAATTACCAGTTCTGATTACCTGAATGAGTGCTTGTAACTCGTTGACGTTGGTAGTTTCTTCACGTATCTTATCTAATACAACGGCGTGTTCGGTTGCGATCACAGCTCTTACATGGTGTTCTAAATGTGTCTCTTCGATATCTGGTAGTGGGTGATGGGATAGGTAGTCGGTCATGTTCGATTTCCCTGGTATGTGTATCATAACAAATTCTAAATGCTGTGTCTTCATCCTTAACCGTTCCAGTCTTGGTGGTAGTTTCGTATTTGGGCTATTGAAGATTGGTAATAACGGTTTATGATCCGTCGCTATCTGGAATTGTTGTGACCCTGCAAGGTACATTTGCAGTCGGCTTGTTGAGAATTCTACCGCAAGGGCTTCTCGTTCAATTCGGGCATACTTTTGTTCAGTCTCTGTCAGTGTTCTACTCACATATTTATTATCAGTGTTCTACTCACATAGTTATTTAAGCCCCGTTTACACTACGCTCAATTTTTGGTACGGCACGGATAAAATTGGTACCCGTACCACTTTTTTGGTTCTTGGACTACCTATTTAGCTAAGCCCCGTTTACACTACACACAATTTTTGGTACCCTACCATTTTTTGGTTCTTGGACTACCTAAATAGGTAGTCCAAGAACCAAAAAAGTGGTGCGGGTACCGATTTTATCCGTGCCGTACCAAAAATTGAGCGTAGTGTAAACGGGGCTTTATTATCCATATGAATGACCTTCCATTACATCTGAATGACACCCAAATAGATATGTTTGCAGATGATTCTACTCAGTATGTATCTGGTTGTTCAGTCCAGAGTGTACAAGAACAACTCAGTACCGAAATGCTACCAATTATACAATGGACCGAAACGAATAAAATGGTTCTCAACGAACAGAAAACTAAGGCAATGTTTATAGCATCAACCAGGAAAGTGTCTGAGATCCCACAGGATTTAAACATCGCTATAAATGATTTCCAAATTGAAACTGTGCTTGATGGAAGATTACTTGGTATTCAGTTTGATCAAACTTTGAGCTGGTCTGTGCATATCGATCTGTTGTGTAAAAAGATATCTCAAAGATTAGGTATATTACGACGAATACGTCACCATCTGCCACTAAACGCTCGTAAAGCCTTCTACCGATGTTTAATTCTCTCCTTGATGGATTACTGTTGTGTGATTTGGGGGAATACATCTACCCAAAACTTGCACAGACTTCATCGGCTTCAAAAGAGAGCTGCCAGACTGATTTTAGATCGTGATCATAAGGCACCTTCACTGCCTTTATTTTTGGAACTTGGATGGCTTCCAGTTCACGAGAGAATACGATATTTTCGTGCCAGTACAGTTTATAAAGCGTTAAATAATCTATCTCCAAGTTATATCACTAGCTTACTTTTACCATTTAGCAAAGTACATAATGTAAGTACTCGCGGCTCCACAAATAACAACTTGAAGCTTCCAAAAGTAAACACTAATGCTGGTAAACGTACTTTTGCCTTCTTGGCAGCTAATGAGTGGAATCTATTACCTGATAGTGTGAGATGCTCGACATCATTTTCCTCATTTCGTAAAAACTACATAAATTTGGCCTTTTCCAAACTCAAGGATAATATCTGACTTGTGTTTATAACAATTAACGATCATTTTTAACCCTATGTGTATATTTTTAGACTTAGTAACTCTTTATACTGATATTTATAGTCTTAGTATTAATAGACAGTATATTACTTAGGGCCTAGATGAAAATTACTTCGTGTAACTCTAGTCACCCTGTTTAAATAAAGTGTTTATTATTATTATTATTATTATAATGGACTGGTTGATACCCATGGGCTGTCTTTTGGAATAATCCGCCTCCGAGACCGACTGGACTTGCATCGCAGATAATAAGGGTCTTCCTTCCGGTGTGGTGTGGTGTGGTATGGTATGGTATGGTACGAGTACAGGTGCTCTTGTCATTGCATTCCTCAGATCATCGAACGCCATCTGTTGCTCTTGATTCCATTCAAAACGATGACCTTGTTTCGTTATCCGCCTAAGTGGTTCTGATCTGCTGGAGAAATTTTCGATGAATTGGGACAGATATGCCATCATTTGGATAAACGATACCAACTCTTCTTTACTTTTCGGTCTTTCCATTTCCTGGATGGCTCTGATCTTGTTAGGACTTGGTCTCAGCCCTTCGCTGGTGAAGTAATGACCATGGAATTCTAGCGATGTCCGACCGAATTCACATTTCTCCTTTCGAAGCGTTATGTTGTGGATTGTGAGTCGTTCGAATAGTGTTTCCAGGTTCCGATTGTGTTCTTCCCAATCTTTACCTCCGACCATGATGTCGTCGCGGTTGTTTAAGACATGAGGTATGCCCGAGATTATCTTTGCGATCTCCGCATCAAAAAGATCTTGGCTGTTCTTGCCACCGAATGCAAGTCTTTTGTATCTATAGTTCCCCCAGGGCGTTGAGAATGTCATTATCTTTCTAGATTCTTCATCGAGCGCGAATTGATGGTATCCGTGGTTCAGGTCGATTTTACTGAAGACTGTGCAGTCCTTAAATTCGTTTACAAAGTCTTCGGTGATGGGTGATTGTACGTGCCTTGTGCGTGCCATAGACTGATTTAGAATTCGGAGATCGAGACTCACTCGGATGTCCTTAGGATCTTCGCTTTCGGTTGTACCACGAGAGGTGAACACCACCCGATTGCTTCTTGTTCGGGGACCTTCTCTATGATGTCACTTTCGATGAATTCGTTAATGCGCTGCTCCAGAGGCTCTAGTAAGTGATACGGCACCCGTCTTGGTTTCTGAGCTATCGGTGTCGCATCCTCGTTCATGGGTAAATGGATTTCGATAACTTCTCCGTCTCTTTCCGCCTTTCCTACTCCGTGGAATCTTCCTTCATACTTTCCGAGGATTTCTTCAAGTTTTGGGTAGGTTGCGTCTGTTTTCTTTACTCTGTGTGTATCTTTTTTCCTGGAGTTTTCTAAGTTTCCAGTCTGGTCGATGAGAACCATGCCTAAATTGGATAAGATGGGTCTTCCGATCAGTGGCAAAGAATCCATTTTTCCCCTAATAACGATAATGCGTGTTCGTGGCTGCCTCGTTTGGTTTCTGATGGTCACAGAGCATTCTACTGGTACCGGGATGTCTTGAAGAAGTGCTCGCAGCTTTGTTCTGGATTTCTTCAGCCGAATTTCAGATCTCGCTTTCTGGAGTCGATCAAATTGCTTTTCATCCATTATATTTGCATCCGATCCCGTGTCCGGTTCAATTTCTGTTGCCACATCATTGATCATTACTGTACACGATTTAGAAATTTTCTTGGCATTCAATCGAGTTGTTTGTCTGATTCGAAGGTGTTGGATGAAGTCTTCGTCGTTCGAGCTGTCACTAGAACTGATACTCGAGCTCTCCTCCCCCGTCCTCTCGACGTGTCGAATATTTGGTTTTCTGTGTTCTGGTTTATAGTTCCTTTGGTCGTCTGGCTTCGAGTATTGGCGGCTTTTTGTTTCTCTTCTCTCTGATTTATTGTCGCGACGTTGATATTGAGAATTCTCCCTTCGCTTGTTGTTCCCACCGGGACCTCGTGTTGAACGCGATCTACAAACAATGGCGAAGTGGTTTTGTTTACCACACTTTCGACATTTCGCACCATATGCGGGACATTTTGCTTTGTCGTGCTTACGCCCACACCGTTGGCAGGAATCTTGTTTAGAATACTTCACTCTTTGGCTCGTTTCAGATGCTTCGAGTTTCTGCTTGATTTCTTTGGCTTGCAGTTGAGCTTGCTCGGTGATTGCTGCTTCATCGAGAATTTCTTGTAGTGTCCAGTTGTTGCGAATAGCTTTGACACGAATCGCGTTGTTATGCATTGTTTTGATCAAGTGGTCGCGTATCGCATCGTTTTCGTCTGTATAGCTACATTTCTTGGCGATTTCTCTGATTCGGGCGTAGTAAGTCGCCATCGGTTCGTCGTCTTGTTTTACCAAGTTTCCGAGTTTAAAACGAGCATAATCTTTGTTCTTTCTCGGTAGAAAGTGCTGATCGAGCTTGTGAATTAAGCGAGTATATTCGTTTTGATCTCGTTCGAGTGCTGGGTCGGATATGGAGTCGTCTAAGTCAGCGATTTCTTGACCTCCGTATATAATAAAGTCCGTCTTTCTTTAGTTGTGGGTCTTCGATACCGAAAAATCTGAATTGTCGCTCGATATTCTGCTTCCATTTGGCCCAACGAACGGCTGTATCGTTGCTGTCTCTTGTCAACTGAAATGGGCCGATATTTAAGTGTCGATTTATTATGGTCACGGCTGCATTTTGTGTTGCTCCTACAGCGCTTGTACTTGACTGTGCTTCAGCGATTTCTCCGTGGTCCATATTCTTGTTTATTGCACTTTATTCTCGTTATTTTTTGGGATCAAATACACTGAAATTTCGATCCCATCCTCGTCGCCAATGTTGTGCTGTGCACATGCATGCTTTATTAATCTAAATGTCTTTACACTCAGGTACTATGAATATATGATCACATGTTTACGTGTTAGCAGTACGTTACTGAATAATTAACAATTATAATTACACATTAAGTTATTACACCTACCTACAGATACCTTCAACCTCCAAACACCTGGGTAAGCTGCACTCTGGAGTCGAGAGAGCTTTTGGCATTGTGTCTAAAGAAACTTAAAGGCTTGTCCAAGGTTGGCATGCGCTGCTTATTTGAAGTTCTAATCAGTTGAATTTTACAGTGAATATTTGACATGAATAAATCTTTATTTTTAGGTTAGGTTAATTGATGCTGGGTTTGTTTGGACAGAACCACATTCAAAAAGAATTAAAGTTAAATTAACCATACAGAAAGAGGTACATACAAAGCACAATAAACGTTTGTTGCACTTGTCTTTGTTGATCTTGAATGCTGGATTTGGTGGCTAATCCAAGTGAGCATATACTGTATATACTGTATATACACAATTTAAGGCCCAGCATGGAACGGTTGCGAAAATGGCAACACTAGGTGAGGTCCTCTAGCAGGAATCGATCCTACGGCACTGCAATTCCTGTTCCTGGTGTTACATTTTTCGCAATATATATATATACAGTATATGATGTTCGTGATGTTACTCTGAGTGTGCATCCACACCCGGCAAGCTGAAAAGTTTGCCTGGCCGCGGTGGGAATCGAACCCAAACTTTTCAGCTTGTCCGGTGTGGATCACACTCAGAGTAACACTACAAACATCATATTCACCTGAGTATAAATAACACCAGTAACACACACAAAAGTATGTGTGACATAAACAGACACCCAGCTCACTTGGATCATTCACCAAACTCAGCATACAAAACAATGTATAAATTACAGTAGACCTGGTCAAACAAGGATAAGCGTTGATAAGAGACGAGAAGCGAGAGTTTGCATGAGAGTTTTCTCAACTCTAATTCCGCGGTCAAACGAGAACAAGAGTTGCTTGAGATTTCACTGGATATCACTGGTCAGTCAAACGAGCAAACACACAGTTCAAGAACTTATCACTAGACTATTATATCAACACCCTTCATCCTATATTACATTATATTATTATGTGTTAATGGGCTTTGAAAATTCTGGAGATATTATTTGAAAACGTCCTCGGATTTCTTTCCAGTGGTACTGATAATACTTGAACATTATTTAGATTATTGATTTTGAACAACAATGTGATCGCAAGGTTTTCCCAATTTCCAGATTTTCTCTTGAATTTACTAAAAAACGTCTTTGGAAGTCCTGAAAAACTTCCTTGAATTTCATCTTCACTAATAACCAGGTGATCTCGTGTTCGTATTTTAGCCAATCAGCGCTCAGAAAGGGTTGTCCGAATAGAAATCCATTTTGATGTATTTAGTCAATTATATCTTTTGTTATTCTTTATGAAACTAGTTAAAATTCTGTAATTATGTTTGGTTAGGAGAACTATAGCTCTGACAAAAATATGGAAACGAAGTAAAGTATACTACAGGAAATATTCAGTTGTTTTAATCATAAAATGGATTTCTATTTGACAACTAGTGCCAGTACTTTTCCGCGTATCAAGATCACCTGGAAGTGGAAACCCTGGACTATAGTGAAACCCGCTTACAATATTTTCATTTGTGTACTGTTTAAAGAGAACAAACAAAAGGGTTTACAATGAATAGCCATGCACTAAACACAGAGGTTTAATTTTTGCACTGTAGGTGATGAGTGCAACAATCCTACAACAAGTATTTGTCGTGGAGTTTGTTGTTCAAGGTCAGATGTGTGGAGATTGTCATCGGAGGGAAGCCAAAGATTATTGGAAAGCTCTTGTTCAAATTCGTCAGAAGGTTAGCTATGACAAAAATATCTTTTCAGTGATAATCTTTATTTAATCGTGATACATTATGTAGTTAACTATAAGGGACTGGTCATAAAGTAACTGCTAGAGTGGGCAGGAGTGATTTGGGGATGGGCCATGGAAATTTTTTGGGCAGTTTCGATGGGCCGCCAATTTTTTTGTATGTTCACGGTTGGGCCACCAAACAAAGATCCATGTTAATTATATATTATATAAAGATATTAATAATAAAAGTAAACAAAAATATCAAATGGAAATGATGCTACAGTATTGAAGCCAGTACTTTGTTTTATACAACAACAAGAATTGAATACAACCAACTGGAGAGCAGCCCAGTATCGTAATTGATGATGAATGTGTTGGTCACGCTTGGTGGAATTATATATGTCAATACAGTGCCGGTGTATGTTTACACTTCACAATGTTCATACCTGCAAGTTTTTTTTATTATAAAAGTGTATTTTCCCAATTTAGATTGGGTGGGTGGGTCATGAAATAAATTTGGTAAGATTAGATGGGCTTTGAAATTTTTATGTACATTCTAAGATGGGTCACCAAACTTATGGGCAAAATTTGTGATTTACCTCCAGCCCACCCTATAGCAGTTACTATATGACCAGTCCCTAACAAGCTTTAATTTCGTAGCAACTACCTGAAATATACAAGGAGAATTTCGACGTTTCGAGCGAAGGCTCTTCGTCTGGAGTTATACACCTGGCTCGAAACATCGAAATTCTCCTTATATTTTTCAGGTAGTTGCATCCCTACGAACGAAAGCTTGTTGCCAGTACACTGGCACGGACAGGTTATATACAGTATTTACTTGCAACTATATTTTAATGCTGAATGGGGTGAATGCAGGCATATTTTTTTCATCCTGGCAGCAAAGTTGAACAAAAATGAAAATTTCCGGTGTAATTCACATGTAGATTTCAGTGAGCGTACAGTGTATGGTGCCACATAGTGTGCTTGACTTCAAATTCGGCACAAAACCATCTCAACTTGCGAAATGCTTTTGCAAACAATAAGTAAATTATATAGCATTCCGGTATATGAGATGATGAATACTCCTGCAAGATGCAAGAATGTACCCTCTAAATGTATTTCTATCCACCCTATCAATATTTCCAGTGGGAGGAAACTGTACTAGCCGGAAAAAACCCACAAAACGTTTGGCCAAGAGTGTAAAAAATAGTTGAGCGCGCGAGCAAAGGCGGAGGAAATGTTAAATAGCTGCAGGAACAGGATTTTTAAGTTGAAGAATTTGGACGAAACCCTAAGGGACCGGTCAATAATTATGGTACATGATGGGGGATGCCATGGTCGAAGAGAAATGTTTTCTTGGTACAAAATTTGCAGATCCAACCATTGAAAAGTCAAATTTATCCATCCTCAAATGTGATCAATTAAAAAATAAATTCCCACTCCTGTCCAAAAACGTGTCCTTTACCACATTGTGACATGAGTTTGATAAAAACTTGTTCAATTTTCTGTTGTCTAAAATTTCATGTTGTCTGCACATGTACTTTCTTTGGAGACACAAGATAGCGACTCTGGTTGATTTACATGTATTGACATACTGTATGACTGTTGACATTGCTTTTTAGTCTTCTATATTTGAGCGAGTCATACTGTGGAAATGACAATATACTTTTATTACCTAACCCTTGAGTTGTTTTGTTTTTCATATACCCAACCTTTTACTCACTCGACATTCAATTTGCTGTACCAACCCTTTTCTTTTCGGTCCTCCCGTCATATGACCGCTCCCTAACAGGCACATAATTATCACAAAAATACTCATTTGGTCTGAAGAATTATCCCCTGGTTGCACTCCCAGAAAGAAAATATTTTTCATCGACCCTGCTTGTGGCAGATCGTTTACTGGCCCATTAAACACGAAAGTCTTTTGAATACTGAGCAAGACTCGAACCCACGATCATTGCTGTTGTTTTTAAATATAGACGAACCACAAGAAGACATTCTTTTATCTGGAGCAGCTCATCATAAAACATCAAGCACACAATAATACATTGAGAATAAAACAGCAATCAGGTAGCTATACTGTAACTTAGTTTCCAAGAAATATTATATATTCCAAAGCATGTATACATGTCTAATATGGCATCCTGGTATTCCTGAAGGCTCTGCAATAGAGGAAACCGTACAAAAACGGGCGCTAAAAGATCAAAGAGAACTTTTGTGCTTTTAAATATTTTAATCATATGAATAAGCCTTTTAACCGTCTCTTTGAATTATTATACTATCTCCAGTACCAGTAGAAATAATCAGTACAGTATACTGTATACGAAACGCTCTGTACGAAACGAACGCTTACCGCTAATTGAAACTAGAACAGAAATATTTAGGAATTTTAGTTTTATATACCGTGTGCAATTAGGCCTTTTCTGAGGATCTGATTTATATCTTTTTTTCAAATGCAGTAGTATTTATATTTAATTTTAAAAATGTAATTTTAACCTTATAGCATATATATCAAAATATTATATTAGGCCTATGTCATGGAGATGTGAAAACGTGCGACGCAATATACGTTTCATTATAATATTATTTTTAGATGGTTTGGATTTCTTTTTTGCCACCCCACAAGATGCGAAAAAATTTGTTTCTTTCCTACAGTCAGTGGTACCATGCAGGTATTTCACAGTCTCGTTTGGTTGCCTGGCTTCATAACCATCATCTTAACCACCATTATAAATATCAACACCACCATAATCACTTCCACAACCACCATTATCATTAGTCGTCATAACTATTGTCACCATCAGTGCCACTCCTAATATTAACAATTATAAACCAGCATAGCAACCATTATCATCACCACACCAGCACTGAACCAGTATCATCATCAAGAGTCAAGCCACCAGCATCGCTACCAATATCACTACCACCATCACTGTAATCACCACCATCATCAACATCACCATAGTTAACATAATCGTTATTTTACCATCATCATTATCGTCAGCAGCATCAACACAGTGCATGGTGTCGTGCTGACCAACCTTGCCTTCCAAACTGGGAGACACGGGTTCAATTCTTGGTCGGAACTCTACTCAAGGTCTTAAAATAATTGAGAAGAAAGAGCTACCTTTACATTGACATCAGTAAATGGTTAGACTTTCGCGTCCTCTCGGATAAGGACGATAAATCGTAGGTACATTGGACCCCTTATCAATCGGGAAGATGCCTGTTGGGAAATCCTCTCACCAATCTGTGAGAAACTCAATAAACAACGTAGCCTGAAAACAGACCTACGTTTCGCCCGCCCTAAAACTCGCGGGTCGACGGAAAGGGCGAAACGTAAGTCTGATGAAAATGTTGTCAAAATCGCCTTTTGCCCGGTTTGCATTGTGCAATAATTAACGATGATGATTGACACATTTACATCTAACACCTAAAAATACAATGAAAGTTGTCGGCTGTCGATTCACTTTATTGAAAGTTTGTAAACAAAGTATATAAGAGTCGATAACCCCATGCAGTATGTTGCTTTTATGTATTCTTAACCATTGTTTAAAGCAAACAGTTACAGCTAGTATATTTAGTAATAATATGACATTTTCAACACATTCTATAAAATGCAATAAAATTTGCCTACTCAAATTTGGCAATGGCCATGTCCCATTGTTGAATTGCCTGATACAAACTCTTACAATTTATACATTTTGAAACCGCCATGCACTGCTAAAATCTAAATAAAATATTTCGTACGTGCTATGTTATCGAAATGTAAATCATAAACGCATCAGTTTTATTATGATTATCACCAAACGTAGATCGTGTAAAAATTATTGTATTGTATATTACAACGGAAAGACACAAGGTGAAGTATTTGACACGTACTGCTCTACTCCCCTCCAGTTTTAATTTTAGACAGTAGATACTGATAGACTATAGTTGTCGTTCGACATCACAAAAAATTTAGAATATCACACTGCATGCATGCATATTATAATGCGTTCATTTACCGTTGAAATATATTCTGATCTTTTCAAATCTTTTCATGTTAGCGAACAACCAATCACAACCCATTTCCCTGTGAATTAGCCAGTCAGCTGTATTCCGACCACCAGGTGGTCGGATTCCACAGCGTTTTGAAAACATTTTCATCAGACATACGTTTCGCCCTTCGTCGACCCGCGAATTTTAGGGCGGGCGAAACGTAGGTCTGTTTTCAGGCTATAAACAACGTCGTCATCGTGACCATCACTACCATCACCGTCACCATCGTAATTGCTGTCGTTGCCATTACCATCATTACCATCATCATCACCATCATCAACAACACTATGGTCCAATCTACTCGGCTTGAATAATTTTCTCATTAAATATTATTTTGTATACTTTCAGGAGCAAGTTATCGCAAAGGCTAATATCTCATGATGTGCACACCAGCAGCTACAATTATTCCAATACACATTCAGTTGAACTTATTCCAGTTTGTAAGGTAACGCATATTAATCCACGCAAAGGGCTAGATGTTTATGATCCTGCCACATTTCTGGATAACTCGCATGCTTGGATACCACTGTTATAACTATATGACACTCGCAGAGTACATACCTCCGTCAGCGAATTAAGTTATGTATCATGCATAAATTATACAGTGGGTAATGGTGATTTCAGCTACAGACTAAATTTTGATCTAAGCAAGAAGAACAAAATCCATCACCACAGCTAGAAAGAGCATGTTAAAATTAGTAAAATTGCAACGTTTGGCCGCGAAATGTTGTAAAATGCGGAAAATATAGCCCTGCGAAATTTGCAAATTTTGTATCAATTTGTATTACGCGCGGGAAAATGCACCACATTTGGGCCGAAAGTGGCGACGACGGCCAAAACAAACTCCTTCAACTAAATGGTAGTAAAGATAAATTTCGTCGTATATTATCAATCGTACGATCTTAGAATTTGAAGACATGGGTTTTACGGTTGGGAAGAGTTATACTGAACCCAGTTTAAAGTTGCACTTATTGCAGGCTTGAAATGCAGCCGTTGTATGAAGACATGAAAATCCGTGATTTGGCGTTGTAAACAGAGCGAGGACAATGTCTAAATTATTCATATATTGTGATTATTCAATTATTTTTATTGTATTGGTAGCCGTTGCCGTCGCGTTGCCGTCCTAAATCGTAAGGTCTCTAATAGCCACGTAAAAACGAGGCCATTGACATTGGGGCGAGAGGGCGATATAGAGCGCAGTCATTGACACACGCCAGCCTGAATAGGTATGTGTTTCAGATTCTAACCCACTTAAATCCTGATGTTTCTATCATATTATTTAATCATACTGTAGGATGACGTCGTTTGCCTTCCGCTAAAACTTGCCCGGTCGTTAGGAAGTATAGGGTGAGTATATACAGGGGGTCCCGAAAAAACCCCAAAACTATTGAAATAACGTATTGTTAGAATTGAAATACCTCAGCACTCTGCTGAACCCACAAGTGAATAAAAGCTGGACATAAGTAAATTTTATGCATAAAGAAACTGTTTAAGAAGCTTCTTTAAATTCCCAAGAGCAGAAAATCGTGCGCTTTAAAGATATTATAATTTGTTAACAAGTCAATATTTAATATATGCACCCTGCCAATATTTTACGCATCTTTGCGTTCAGCTTAGTGCTAGAGCATTCGAATTCTAACAATACGTTGTTTCAATAGTTTTGGGGTTTTGGGGGCACCCTGTAAAACAACAAAAAATTTGTTTTACAAGTTCTTAACTTCCTATTACAAGGTCCTAACTTCCTGTTCTGTTCTGTTCTGTTCTGTTCTGTTCTGTTCTGTTCTGTTCTGTTCTGTTCTGTTCTGTTCTGTTCTGTTCTGAGTGTTGCAATTAGCTAACAAAAATAATCCACCAATGACAACGCTTAGAACAGAACAGGAAGCCAGGAAATTAAAACGGAAAGTTAGGAAAATTTAAAATGAAGTTTTTTTGCATTCCCATTTCGAATATTGCAACAGCCGATAGGAACATTGCAAATTCCCTCAAGGGATTTGTATATAGTTTTTCAAATTTGCAAAGCTAATGAGGAAATTTCCAAATGAGTTAGGAAGTTAAAAGAGGAACGCTTCACGTATTTTGCTTGTGATTCAAATTTCCAACGGAAATGTGCCGCGTATAGCTATAGAGAATAGGAAGGGCGGCTTTTAAAAACCTGGCGAAAATCTGTCATTAAATGTAATTCGTGTCACACAACATTTTTCTAACCTTCGGGTAAATTATTGCTGTACAGTTCTATGCCAAATATTTTATTTCATTTTCTAATAATGACATTTCAATAAACTCTAACTTATCTAGTAGTATTTCTTGTAAATTTGATCTTACATTCTTATACTTATCTTTGTGACTTTACATTGTGCTAAGATAGGTAGCGCACATTGAAAATCATGCCCAAAGTGCCACATACACTGTGCTCACATGACAAAAGGTGAGATAAAATAGTGTAATACGTTGGCAAACAGCAGACTCGAGGTTGCCAACTTGGCTCTTTTTACGCCAAATTTCTCGATCTTGGCTTCTTTTTTGCGTGTACTTTGGCACACAAAATTTTCGTTTGGCTTAATTTTATTATTTTCGTGTGTATAACTCGCGACTTTCGAAGTGTAGTTTGACTTGGATCAATGGATCAGTGTAGTTTGACTTGGATCAATGGATCAGTGTAGTTTGACTTGGATCAATGGATCAGTGTAGTTTGACTTGGATCAATGGGTCAGTGTAGTTTGACTTGGATCAATGGATCAGTGTAGTTTGACTTGGATCAATGGATCAGTGTAGTTTGACTTGGATCAATGGATCAGTGTAGTTTGACTTGGATCAATGGATCAGTGTAGTTTGACTTGGATCAATGGATCAGTGTAGTTTGACTTGAATCAATGGATCAGTGTAGTTTGACTTGGATCAATGGATCAGTGTAGTTTGACTTGGATCAATGGATCAGTGTAGTTTGACTTGGATCAATGGATCAGTGTAGTTTGACTTGGATCAATGGATCAGTGTAGTTTGACTTGGATCAATGGATCAGTGTAGTTTGACTTGGATCAATGGATCAGTGTAGTTTGACTTGGATCAATGGATCAGTGTAGTTTGACTTGGATCAATGGATCAGTGTAGTTTGACTTGGGGGAAGAGCGTCGT